TCCGTACGGGTGAAGATAACAATTCATTGCTTTATCGAGTAAGTTCAATGTGCTCTCACTAATGTGCTTGTTTACGAAAGCTACATAAGTGGAATGGCTGGGGAGCACGATGATTCACCAGATATGCTTATTAAACACAAAAAATTGCTTTGTATTATTAAATGTTATCCAAAAATTTGACTTTATTTATTTGTATGGTAGAGCAAAAATAGAATAAAATAAACCCCAAAAAATTAAACAAAACAAATATAGAGATGACACGCAAGTCTATAGACGTAGGCTTAATAATAGGGTCCAGATAATTCGTTTGGTAACGAAACGACAAAATATTGGTAAAAGGCGATTCAATATTTAGGATCCGTAATTTTAAGAATTTGTAGAAATTTGAAGATTTTGATAATATTTTATAATACTTAGTACATTTGGCAAAACTTTTTTTTCTTGTTTTACTCTCAAATTTGGCCCCCAAGATTAGAATTTAATTGTTTATTCTAAATTTATACCCTCTCCATTTAGAGAACATAGGCTTTGACAGATAGAGAGATAGACAGGCAGACACACAGAGGGTTTCGCCTTTACCTAATAGGGTACGAAACCCTAAAAGTAAGGAGAGTATATAAACCAACAAAGGTCCATTTCATCACAAGTTTGTTACTTAAATATTAAGTTTTATATTGAATGCTCAGTTGGAACAATTAAACTTATGTAATAAATAAAAATGAGATCTTCTATATCGCGATATAGCTAGGGTCGATGACTGTGAGTGAGTCAAACATGCGTGTGCGCCATTTATGGGCATTGTTCGCGACTAGGTTTTGCGATTAGACGTTCGCCTTGAGGAATATTTAAATTATCTTTTAAATATATCTGCATTATTGCTATACACTGGATTTATCTTATTTGTTATATAAATGTAATATTATATTTTATTTTATACTTATACTAGCGTCTCACCCTCGCTTCACTCGGGTTCGTCTCTAAGAAAACAAAAACAAACCTATCCCACGGAAACCGTACATTTTTCCGGAATAAAGAGTAGCCTATGTGTTATTCCAAACTATAATCTATCTCTGTGCCAAATTTCATCCAGATCCGTTCAGGCTCTGGCGTGCAAGAGTAACAGACATCCATACTTACAAACTTTCACATTTATAATATTAATACGGATTTTAAACGATACCTGTAAGTTATGTTTTTACTTAATTACTAAAACCTTATCTTGACCGGTTTCGAAAGCGTATACGTATTCAATTTGACAGATTTTTTGAGGATTTGTTAGTCGATATCTTCGCTAATTCCATGTTGATTTTTGTAATGAATATATTATGCAAAGGTGGTGCCATATTTCAAATTAGAAAAGAACGCACGTAAGAAGTTATACTTCTTTACCGTAACAGAACAAAAATAGCTAAAGATTTCACAACTCTCTGTAAAAGGAATACAGATAACTTCATCATGTCGCTTTCAACTAACTTCATTATGTCGCTTTTTGACTGTCGGTGTGCGCGCGCATGGTAAAAATTTAACTCTCATAATTTTTTCCAATTATGCCAAAAGAAGTATAACTTCAAAAAGTTGATTTATCTGTTTTATTTAAAAATTGCTAGTCGATATCCTTTTAGAAATGAGAAGTATAGTATGGTGTTACTGACTACATCCTTTAGGTATTTAAAAGTGAAAGATCGGATATCAGCGGTAACCTGAATGTACGGAAAGGAAATTATAGACGAATTTTTTGTTGAACATTAGTAGGTATATAATAAATAACCACATTAGCTCAATAATGTTTATTTTGAAATCAAAAACATATATAATTTATATAGATACGCAAATCCATACTTCCGTACTAATAGTATAAATGTGAAAGTGTGTTTGATTGTTTGCTTGTTTGTCTTTCTTCCACGTCGAAACGGCTTGGTGGTTTAGCATGATATTTTTTGTGGAGATAGTTGGAGGACTGAAGAGTGACATAGCCTCCTTTTTACCGAGGGAGATTATCTCATTCCCACGGGAAAAAACATATTATAATACAATCCAAAAAAATATTTATGATCAGAATTACTTGAAACTTGGCATTAATCCTCTTCAATATAATTAATTACATACGTGTTGTAGCATTTTTCGAAATTCATCCCCTAAAAGGGTAAATACCGGATGAAAGTTTCTATGAAACCTACCATTTTAGAGTTTTTTTTTTGTAGTTTTAGCGCGAGCGAAACCGCGAGTTCTGCTAGTTATTTAAATATTTAATTTATACATACGTGCAAAAAGTAGTCCATAATTGTAGGTTATCATTATTTACTAATTTTTTCGTGTTATGTTGATGCAAAGTAGCCTAAAAAAGCGATTTTAGTCCATATATTTTTCTCTAACAAACAAACATACAGTCACAAACATTTTTTATAGTATTATAGTATGACTACACATTACTATTAAATGCAACCTTCCAATCAAGTTACTTGCCTCCAATTCGTTGGCACGTATTATTCAATTGCATCAATTATGAAGTCAAGTTGAAACCGCGTCCCTGTTTCAACTCGTGCAACATTGCATTCGGTTAGATACTGGTATGCATTCATAAATTTAAAGTTCTGACTAAAGATTCGACCTCTGTATCGATAACAATGACAATTTCAATAAGATTTTCCAAAAAATATTTAATGTACAGATTCGACTCAGAATTTTATTATAAGTATGTATATATAAAACTACCACTAACATATTCCTCGTCTACATACAAATATCAGCACCGATATCAAAAATCAAAAATAATAAATAGAAATAGATCGAGTAGTTAGATGAACTGTAGCAAATTCAAAACGGTAAAATGGTAGACTAAATTAGCATTAGCGGCTATCGGTCGTCGTGAGAACGTAATTTAATATTTTTTGTAATAGTTTAATATAAAATTTTCCTTATAAAACTTATCTATATGTTATTATATATGTATGACAGGAAACTACATATAAAAACTATACCTAAATATCGATTGCTCTTGCGCATAATAAATATTAACATGCATATCTATACGTATAATAAAATTGTAACTAAGTCGAATCTGTACATTAAATATTTTTTGGAAAATCTTATTGAAATAAATATTATTATCGATACAGAGGCCGAATCTATAGTTTTTAGAATATTTGTCTGTCTGTCTATATGTCTGTTACCGCATCACAGAAAAACCACTGGAGGGATTTTGATGAAATTTGGTATGGTGATAGCTGGTTATCCGGGTCAACATATAGGATACTTTTTACCGCGGAAAAATGTCTCATTTCTGAGGAAAAATACAAAAACTGCAATGTAAGAGTATACTAATATGTAAAACCTAAGAATTTGGTTTTTGGTCATCTGAACGTAATTACCTAGGAACAGGTATATGTATATACCTGTTCCTAATTGATGCCGATAATAGTAGTATGACATCCTACGTTTTTTATTACTGCTATTTTTATATTAAAATCACACACTTCAATTATATATTTATAAGAAATATATTCATAATTACTGCTACTACTCGTAATTTAAACATATAAAAAGTTTTTTTAAAGAGCAAACAAGGGACTAAAGTGTGTAAAATGCTGTAGCAGCCACCACATTCAAAACTTACTAAAAAATATTATAGTGAGGCAGTGGTAGCCCAGCGGCAATGGGCTCACTTGGGAAAGCAAGTGAAGCGGGATCAAATCCCGGGACTCGCACCTCTGATATTTTCATGTGCGAACCTGTCTGAGAGAATCTAACAAGTTTTCGATAGACGTATTGTCAGGTCCGCCAACTTGCACTTGGCCAGCGTGGTCGGTTATGACCTGTTCCCTTTCGCATTTTGAGGAGGCTTGTGCCCAGCCGTGGGACGTTTAAAAGGGCTGAATACATACATATTATAATGTTATTGAACTTAAACAATATCACATTATTTTGCTCATAACAAAGTCCTGTTACAAAACAATGCATCAGGACTGAGTGTACAAGTTGAAGTATTAATTAACGTGAATTACGATTGTTAGACAATACACGTACGCTAATTCAAATTGATGGCCGCGACAATCGACGACGACGAGTAAACAAGTAGTTTATCGATTTTGCATGTTGTTTCTCGGTCTTATGGCTGGCACACAATATTCTTAAAAATATTAGTGAATTCCTGTTAATTAATTAATTAATTCTATTGATCCTATTAATTGAATAGAATAGAATTTAACTATAAAAAAATAATTGTGTGCAAAATAAATATATTGATAACACTAAAGATCTCAAATGTCAAGAGATAAGAAAATCGGTTGACAAACAGAGGAGAAAAAGGTACTGAACTGATTTGTATTTGCCTATACTTTATAAATAAATATATATATTTTTGTTCTATGGGGTTGCTTATGTAAAACTACAATAACATACACTTTAAAATCAAAAATACATATACATATGTATAATCCTAGTACACTGTAGGTACAAGACCTTTACGTTTTAGCCAATGTTTATTTCTTTAAACAACGATTTTGGTAAAAAATAAGGAAATTTAAACTGTAACCTTTAAACGTCCAGACGGAAACGATATCGATAATCAATAGAACAATGAAGTGTTGGACTGACAGGTTGTCGTCGGTGATGCGTGGGCGCCGACCTTCCGCCTTCTTATTATGACTGTCTACTTTCCCAAATAGAGCATTTTAATATGGCTAACATTAATATGGATATCATATTTTTTTATAATATTAAAAGTCAATGTATGGATGTATATTAATTTATGTACCTATTTATAAAACAGTTATAACTCGCAATGTTACACACAATACTATTCAAGCTATTTTTACACAAACTATTTTTTACAAAGGTATCTTTTCTAGTTTGTAGTCACGCTTATGACGCATTAGATCAATTGCAAAGCTTTCATCAGGACATTTCCGTATCAATAGCTAAAGAATCTATTGATCAAGATCAATTAAAATTTACTTAAAAATATTGCCAAACAATAAAAATATTATGTTAATTGTCAACAGGCCCGTTTCCAACAAAAGCAACTGCAGGAGCGTGAACTAAAAATAGCGTCTCTCTACGAAGCGCAACAGGCTCGCGCACTCGACCGTGTGAGGCACTCTCCCAGCAATGGCATGGCGAGCACCCCCACACCCACCGTCACGCACCAGCCGGGCAAGGTATACCTTTCAGCAATTAAGTTCATACACTGTCATGGTAAATGGTTAAAAATATTAGATAGATCAGATGTAACAGTTTTATTTAATATAGATTAGCGAATCACCCTCGATTCACTCGGGTTCGTCCCTAGGTACGTTTTGATTTTTTGAGCGGAACCCTAATTCTTTTTCTAAAATAAAAGTAGCCTATGTTACTCCCTATAACATCAGCTGTCTTCCAGTGAAAGTCCCGTCAAAATCAGTCCAGCCATTTCAGAGATTATCCGGAACAAACAGACAGACAGACAGGCAAAAAATTAAAAGTTGTGTTTTTCTTATAAGTACCGTATATAACTTCATATGCATTTAGTAAAACGCTGTTATTTTGACATTACAAACAGGCACTTCAATTTTATTTGTCTGTATAGATGAGCTATTCAAGAGGTATTTTTAATTTTTTTAAACAATATATGTCACATATCACACTAAGTCTCATTGAAAATGGGCGATGTCGCCGAAATAGGTTAGGAAGATATCATTCTAATGAAGCATCTATAACCGTAATTAAAGCCTCGAATATACTTTTGAGGGTTACCGATATTTCGGCACGAAGATCTTGAACTCTCAAAAGTAAATGCTAAACTACAACTCAGGGAATCTATGCAAACATTCATATAGCCCATGATAATCTTAATTACTTATTGTATTCTAAACAACATTGCAAACGATAACAGCTCTACAAACTTGGCCGTCCTCCAACTGACTAAGTGATTTTCATTTCATTTTAGGTACGCCAAATGTTTGAAGAACGACGAACGAAAGCCGGCATAGATAAGAGTTACCCATTACAACCCATACAAAACACAGATCGCATGCCATCAAAAAAAACCTTGCCTAATGGCTATTCAAAAGTATCAACAAATCGGACCCTAGAGAAGAAATCTTCAACAGTCAAAACCCATACAAGCATTAGTTCGCATACTATGAAGAAGCAAAGTGTTATTCAGGTTTGTCTTGAGTAAATTTTTAACATAGCTATACAGAATCGTTTACTTGAGAATTTTAACAAAATAAGAAAATAATTGATTTGGAAAATACATATTAGAAAATTAATTTGAATAATTCCAACCCACGCTTTTATAATGACATACCTAAAAACGCTGTAGCCTAAAGAATATGTGGCTTCAATTTTGATTAAATTATTTAATAGCTTAGCTTACTACTCTAAAAATAACAATAGAACGAACTTTTTAAATAAGAAAAAGTAACTCAATTCGAGTGTATGCTTAGTAATTATTTTTATCAATGAACTAGTATTTTACCGTCACTTTGCCCGGATACCTTTGATATTTATAACATTACTAGCATTGCCCGCGGCTTCGCCCGCGTTCAGATGACGAAAAACCCAATTCTTAGGTTTTACATAATAATATATTCTTACATTGCAGTTTTTGTATTTTTTCTCAGAAATGAGATATTTTCTGGCGGTAAAAAGTATCTTATATGTTAACCCGGGTAACCAGCTATCACCATTCCAAATTACATCAAAATCCCTCCAAGAATTCTAAAAACTATAGATTAGGCCTCTGTATGGATATCTAATAATGTTTATTTCAATAAGATTTTCCATTAAATATTTAATATGCCACGAAACCGGCTTAGCAAAAACTGAAAAAAATATCATATGCCCGCTGCATAAAATGGCTGCGTGTAAACCCGATTTTGTGAGTTACCATAGTTTCTGTACTCAAACTTCAGTTGGCCTCAAAGAGTCTTTTTGATCACAGTAAGAAATAGGACCGTTTGGCAACAAAGAATATTTCGAGTTGATTAATCGTTTTTCTGTACAAAATGTATGGGAAATGTTTTTGGCGATTTTTGTCATTTCTAGTACTCACACATTAAATGGTCCTATAGAGTTCTTTGATTCTTACATGAAATAGGATCGATTGACATAAAAACACTTTTTTTCGTATTTCAGCATTTTTTTGCTAACTGTAAATTTTTTCCAAAATCTGTGAATGCAGTTCAAAATATCTCAAAAATCTATGGATGGTTTCCTAAGAATGTTTTCCTGTAACTGTAGCAGTTAGATACCTGCCCTTACTGTCCCGTCTCAAAAATCCACCCTGGATAAATAGTTTTTATTCTTATAGTAATTTAGAACTAAAAAAATATTTATTTCGACAGAACCATAAAATGGACAACTTAGTGAATGGCTCCGGCGACCTTAATCACAACCATGAAGAAGACTTGAATGTCAAACGAGTGGTAAATTTTAAATTTTACTTATTATTAACAGTGTAATAACAATAATTGTCTTAAACTGAAAGTAAACGTAATATCGTCTCCTTACGACTAAATTATAATTTATTTAATGAACACCGAATTGTAACTGTTTTATTTATTATTATTAAAAATATATATCGTTATTTTACATGCATAGCAAGAACGTCCGTACTTTTGTGTGTCACCTTCCTCTTGACAAGGTGAAATACCGCCAAATTCTCAAATCCAGGCTGTTACTGAGGCTTACTAAACAGAAAGACTCAATAGCTAAACCTCGCCCGACCCGGGACTCGAATCCAGGACCTTCTGATGTACAGCCGTAGATGCTAGCCACTACACCACCGAAGCAGTTTACAATATAAAGAAGTAACAAACACACTTTCGATGTACACTTTAAAAAAGCTTATAAACACAAACTCTCAACCAAACACAGAGCAACGGAGATGTGGAGCCCTCAGATGAAACGGATCACGTCAACGGAACAAATGGCAGAGAAAATGATAACTATCTGTTAGAGAACGAGACGTTCCCCGAAGCTCTGGCGCCGGCCGCCACGCCGCGGTCGCCGGAACCGATTGTCGAAGCAAAGAAAACAATTCGAAGGTAATTTGAGATTTTCTTCATCATCATTATCAATCATCAATATCATTACAATTCTTCATCATCATCGTCTAAGTTTTCGTCCATCGCTGGACGTAGGCCTCTCTACTGAGCTCGATCTTCAGCTCTACGCATCCAATTTTTTACCAAAATTATTTGTTTGCCCGAATGAGGTGAAACCCAAAATTAGGCTTGTTTGTTTATTCTGTATGCATGTATATATGTATCTCCAGCTTTATGCTATCTTGTTATATAGTTATAACTAGAGTACGTTAGTTTTTTTCAACCGACTTCCAAAAACGAGGAGGTTCTCAATTCGTCGGAATCTTTTTTTTATGTATGTTCACCGATTACTCGAAGATGCCTGAACGGATTTGGAATTATTTTGTTTGAAAGGGTATATATACTTCCCAGGTGGTCCCATATAAATTTTATCGAAATCGATCGAGCGGTTTTTAAAAAAATCGACAATAAATATTTTTTTAAACAAATTGTTTCATCGAATATGTTATTAAAAACTTTCTTCCTACAAATTACCTGCTTATTACGTCTACACTAAAAATATAAACATAAAAACTTAATAAAAACCGACTTCCAGGCACTAAAACGTAAAAAATAACTAAGCGGGAGGTTTCATTTAGAAAAGAGACCTAATCAAATATTTTCGAAGTCGGTGCCAGCCGACAATATTTTCAGATATGAATATCTAATAGCTAAATATGTATTTTACGTATCAAAATATATTAGATTTCCTATGCGTCGGCTGGCACCGACTTCGAAAATATCTGATTAGGTATCTATTCTAAATGAAAACCCCCGTTTAGTTATTTTTTACATTTTAGTGCCTGGAAGTTGGTTTTATTTTATTTTTAAAGTTTTTATTTAATTATTAAATAGTTTTTAGTTGCCCATAACATTATATATTTGCAGTAGTTACTCTTTATCATGAAAACAGTGGTAACCCAGTATTAACGTGCTCGCTTGGAAAATCTAGCGCTGGTTCAAATCCTGAGTCGCACCTCTGATATTCTCTGTGCGAATCATTTCCAACGTGATTACCACCTTACGTGATTGCTTTACGGTGAAGGAAAACCAACGTGAGAAAACCTGCATGTCTGAGAGAACCTAGAAAGTTGTCGAAAGACATGCTCAGTCCGCCCGCACTTGGCCAGCGTGGTGGACTATGGCCTGATCCCTCTCTTATTAAAACTCACTCCCAACAGTGGAATGTTAAGAAGGGCTGAATACATACATTCCTTATTTTGCCTAACTAGGAGCCCAGCAACAAGACCTAAGAGTCCAGTAACAAGACCTAAGAGTCCAGCAAAAAGACCTAAGAGTCCAGTTAAAAGCAAATCCCTTCAATCCTCAACTACTCCAAGAAGAACGGTCAGCGAGAACAAGGTAATTAATTGTCAATATATATATTCGGTACATACTTACTAAAAAAAATATTCTTCAAATTAAAAAAATGTACATTAAATATTGTTTGGAAAATCTTATTGAAATAGTCATTAGTATCGACACAGGTGCTGAATCTATAATTTTTAGAATTTTTGTCTGTCTGTCTGGGAACGCATCACGAGAGAACCACTGGACAGATTGAGATGAAATTTGGTATGAGGATAGCTGGATACTCGGATAAATATATAGGATATATATAGGACTTTTTAATACAGGAAAATATCTCATCTCTGAGAAATCTATACTAAACGTTAAAACGTAACTATTGACGAATCCGAGCGGAGAGAGGGTGAATCGCTAGTATTAAATAAAACTTTTTTTTCGGATTTTGATTTTTGTTTTCCGACGTTTCATATGCTTTACAACAAATATTATGTACTTAGGTCACGGGAGAGAATCTCTCATGACCGTCATAGCTTACCATCACTATCGTATACATACATAATATGTATCATACTTGTAAAGCACAGGAAAAGTCAAAATCCAACATTTTTCGCGTAAACTTAAGAGATTACTTCTGATGTATTTGCATTTTATATATGAGGATCATTATGTATTTATTTATTTCGACTTTTTTTTAAATAACAGGAATATATTATTTACCTTCATATATTATTATTTAGACGTTATTTTATTCATCTTCATATATCTTTCTAGTTTTTTTTAACTGTCCTGTCTGACTTAGGCAGGATGTGTAGAAAAAACACCGAAATAGTTTTTATTACAATGAATATTTCCATACAAAATATCCCATAGAATGACATTGACTTAGAAAAATAAATCTAAATTCAAACCTAATGTCATTTTAACATCATTATTTTTATATTATATATTAGATAAAATGTAGCTAAAATTCCAGTGATGAGTTAAAAGTAAATTTATTCAGGTTTCCGATCGTGAGGATAATAAGCCGAAAGCGGTCATGCAGCGGGGAACTCACTCCGTAAGTACGGCAGACATGTCTTTATCTATACATATAATAAAATTCTGAGTCGAATGTGTACATTAAATATTTTTTTGAAAAATCTTATTGAAATAGACATTTTTATCGATACAGAGGCCGAATCTATAGTTTTAAGAATTTTAGTCCGATTGTTTCTCTATATGTCTGGGAACGCGTCACGAGAAAACCACTGGACAAATTTTGATGAAATTTGGTATGATGATTGATTTGATATGATTAACATTTAGGGATAAAAATAATTGTTCTTAAATTATTATAATGTTAATTTGCCCATAAATTAATTAATAAAACTAGTTTTAAAACTAATTAAACCATTTGTTAGATCTTATGATAGTTTAGGTCCTACACGCCTTTATTTAGTGTTTGATGAGATGTTTTAAGTATCCTAGACTCAAGGGACGAAAAGCTAAATTATCAAATGTTGCGTACCTAATAAGTCCTAAACAATAACAAATAACATTGCTTAAATTTTAGAGTACATATGTATAGGAAGGAAAACTATAAACTAAGCTGAACAGACGGAAGGAAAACTTTATATGAACTAATATTGATGCTCAGACTAAGGAACAATAAGAGAACTAAACATAAGCTAAACAATGTTTTAAAATAATATATTAATGTTTTGTAACAGAATATTTATTACTTAGATAAGTAAATAAATAATAATAAAAAAAATAGTTGACGGATTTTTATTATAATAAATAAAAAAAAATATTGTTGCTTAAAAAATACAAAATAATATAATATTTTTTTTATAATTTATTTTCTTCTAAAAAAAATTTAATTAACGACGCACTTATACCTATATAAAATTTCACTTATTTTTTGAAGAAAGTATACTATATCTATGGCAAAATCTAGAATAGTAGCATAAACAGAAAATCACGCTGCTATTGTTGACTTTGACATTTTTTTTGGCGGGTTCCGTCTATATATTTTATAGTCTCGATGTTGTTATATATTTAACTGTCATTGGCTTTAATGTGTCATCAGACACCTGTCCGCTTTACATACTTACATATGCGTGTACATATAAGGGTTCCGCACCATTATACATGTACTTTTAATAAATACTAGCGGACCCGACAGACGTTGTCCTGTCTACACGTCTTTAATTTGAAAATTTCAAACTTTTTTTCATAAGCTAAAACATTCTGGACCATTTTGATGAAAATTATTATTCAAATTGTGAATCTAAACCATTCCCAGATCCCCTTGAACACACACAAAAAATTTCATCAAAATCGGTCCAGTCGTTTGAGAGAAGTTCAGTGACATACACACTCACAGGCGAATTATATATATAAAGATAACTTTAACTCTATGTATGTAGTATGCTAACTGTGATGATCGATTATGAACGTTAAAAAAAATGTTGCTTGTATTATTATTTTATCATGTGAAAATTTAAACTTTCTACCTATTACGGTTCATGAGATAGAACCCTCTGTTAATATTGCCGATGGGGAATCCCATCGGGCTCACTGCTTTGCTATTTGCCCTATTATTATTTTTATAATATTTGTTCGGATTTTATTTTTATTAATATTTTCTTTCAGGTACTTAGAAAAACTAGCATGGTGGTAAATAATTTTTATTTTGATCTTTTTTTAACATTCCAATTTTATTTTCTATTTAAATATTAAGTCTTTTACATATCTATTTTACGCTTTAAAATTGCGAAATCAGTAATATATTTTTGCTTGGGACGTACTTTTTTTTCAATAAAATAATCAATATTAAATATCCAAAAAGGGAAATTTAGCTACATTTTCCAACAAAGAATTTACAAACAGTCATGAGTGTTTATATCTATAATATGTATGTATTCTAAGTTACATTATTATGTGTAGTGTATCAACCTATCTAGTATCCATAACACACACCTCGTAGCTTACCATATCGGTACTATAGATGGTGTGTTAATGTCCCAACATATTTATTTAATTATTTCTAGAGCCCGCAAGCAAACAGCACAAGCAAGGTGAAGCCGGCGCCGGCGGCGGCGGGCGAGGGCGGCTGCCCGACGTGCGGGCGCCGCTTCGCGCCCGACCGCCTGCTCAAGCACCAGGAGATATGCAGGAAGACGCACGCCAAAAAGCGCAAGCCCTACGACGTGCTGAAGCACAGGCTGGCGGTGAGGCGCTGACGGAGGGGTGGATAGACGGATAGGATGTAGTTATGCAAAATGGATCCAGCCCACGAAAACCGTTTTTTGAGTTACTGTCATAAATGGCATCCACATATCAACTTACTTTTTAATTACTATACAGAAAGTAGATAAAATACCCAATGTTTAAGAGGAATTTAAAAAAAACTACGGTCTTGTTATTTTGATATACCAATTTTACTAAAACTCCTAGTTTCTCAAAAGTTTATTTTTGTGGTTGGATCTATTTTGCATAACTACGTATAGATGGATAGACAGATAGAGGTATTAAGTGATAGACGGATAGATGGATGGATGGATAGATAGATAGATATTATATTCCGTACCACACAAAATACACAGATAAAAAAATATTTACAAAAATAAAAAACCAACTGCGTACAAAGGGAACTAAAAAAAGACAAAAAGTTGACGAAGAAACATAGTATTATTCAGTCGGAGACAGGCGTGGACTAGTATGTGTATACTCTGTCCTAAAAATTAATACCTTCTTAACATATACATATATACCTACATCACAGACAATCGCAATTTTTCTATTAAAATTGTTAACAATTAACCTCTTTTGTTGCCGCATTAATGGAATAGGGTACAGATGTGGAAAATTATAAGGCAAGATACGTAAATGTATACATATTGCATGAAATATCGTTTACATGTGTTATATCCATACTACCATAGACGTAGAGATTGGACTGAGCAATACTCTCATGAAATTGACTGCTCTTTAAAAATAGAGAAAGCCGCGCGAAACGTGCCGCCAATACCTGTCTTTTATTGTTAAATTTATAAATGGAATATTAAAAAATAATATGTATTGTAATTTATAAAAAATAATATTATAATTGTAAAAAGGTTATACATACATAAGTATCTTCATTAATCGTATTTCAATGAACACTTCTAGCCGCACACTCGTTTTGTCTCTGTTGCGCCTTTCCGCCATGTTTAACTGATGGCTGGCAAAGAAACTTTCAGTCCACTCTCTATGTATATAGTTATATCATCTCAAATATAATTGGAAACGTGACTACGATAGTCACGTTTTCATCTATTCATATGACAGTCTATTATCACAAAATATGTATTCCGACACGTCACTACACCTGTTCTCCAAACTTGACCTATCGTTTAACGATACCTTGTTGATGTTTATGCTTTTGTTATTGGAATGCCTTATCGTTGTTTTGCAATCATATTATAACTTTGTTTCATATTTATTTGATTAAATTTTTAAACATATAAATATTACCGGTTTAAATAAATAGATAAAAAATATGTATATTTAATTTTCTTGTACAAAATTTACATTTGAAGACATTATACTAATCTGCTTTATTGTCAAATTCGGTAAATCAATTCGTATCTGAGTGGTTCGACACGACAATTTAAAGTGTATTAAAGTCTATAAAAAGTACATATAAAAATCTGTACCTATATATAATACTATATAATATATATATATATATATATATAAACTATATAATAATATTCACTTACTTTTGTTACAGAAGATATACATATAAAAAATGATTTAAATTAAAAAAAAATCATAATCGCTTTTTTCCGTGCAGTACCTACCTACTATTTAATAAAATAAGTAGACTTTTCGGATTTTTTCGCGGATTTATTTTGATGGGAACTAAATTCTCGATGCGCGACGTTTCGAATGCTTTACAGCAATCATGGTCAGTCTCTCCCGTGACCATGTACATATCAGTCTCTCTCTCTCCTGTGACCGTTTTTATAATATGTATGTATTTAAAGTTATATTTGTGTAGTGTATCAACTATCTGGTATCCATAACACAAGCCTCGTAGCTTACCATGGAACTAGATGGTGCTGTGTGTTAATGTCCCAACATATTTATTTATTTATATATCTTCACCTCAATTATTTTAGGGCACAGAAGCAGAATCGTTCATCACAAAAATACGAAAGAGCACGACGACGCCTTCAAGTACCAAAACACAAAAGCCCACGAACAGCAGCTGGCGCCAGAAGCACGAAGAGTTCATCCGCGCGATACGCGCCGCCAAGCAGGTGCAGGCGCACCTTAATGCTGGAGGTTGGTGTTTCACGCTTTATGTATTGTCTTGGTGGAAAATTAAGTGATTTGGGTTCAAATCTAGGTCTCGTACTTTTTATATTTTACTATTTAAATAATAAAGAAGAAGAAGAGCTTTTCTTTTTCTCTTACGTCTCATGTTTCAGAGTATCTAATTATAGGTCTTAGAAAGCCGCATTTGGCTACTGTGGTAATTTATGGCCTGATTTGCCTCTCATTGGGAAGGCTTGTACCCAGCAGTGGGACGTTAAAAGAGCTGAATTATCAGATCAATATTTATAACTTTATCTTATTAACTTAATATGCATATTTGCATTTAATATGCATATGAGCATTTTTTAAATAAACTATTAACAATTTACTAGACAGAAATACCGTTGCAAAATTGCCTATTTTACTTAATATATCATTAATTAATTTCACGACCACGTGAAATTTCAGTATGCGAGATTAAAGAACAGTATTGCTTGCTTTTCTCAATCAATCACAGTATATATACCTCCCTATTCAGTTGAGTAAAAAATTGTAATAATTTAATGCTGAATAAAATATAAAAAAAAAACTGAACCACCTCCCAGGCAAGCTCAGCGACCTCCCCCCGCCCCCGCCCTCTGAGAACCCCGACTACGTGCAGTGTCCGCACTGCCAGCGCCGCTTCAACCAAGGCGCGGCCGAGCGGCATATACCCAAGTGCGCCAACTTCCAGTTCAACAAACCCAAGCCACCGCCCAAAAGACGATAGCTGGACATTTAAAATAAGGTCGGAGACATCATTTTGCCATTAAATAATCATTTTTATAAATTACCCTTAACATTATTAAATAATAACCGGTTGTAAAACAGATTTCAGTATGTGCCGACGGATGTAGTCTAAGAGCGTATAGTACATAGTAGTTGATTATATGTAACAGCTGTTATTGGTCGATTTCAAGTTTTACATTTATATATTAATGGATCATAATTTTGTTTTCTTTTTTCGAATTGACTAACATTTAACTCGGACATTTTTGATTAATTTAAAGAAAAATGTGATAATATTAATAACTTTGGTTGTTTAAAATTTAGTGTGTAATGGCAATTGTAATTAATAAATTTTGCGAATATTTTACATTAGTTATTTTATTAAATGAGCGTTTGAATTTCGCAGTTATTTCCACTAAAACAATTTTATGCATTTAAGTGCATTCCTGTAAAAACATCTCATTATACAAATATAATTTAATTAATTACATAATAACATGTTAAAAAAGACATTGGAAATATGTACGTTTGAGAACATTCTACTTAGGACGCTATTAGCAGCCGTCGTCTCTTACACTATATGGGCTTTGATCGCCTTTTTACACAACCGTGTTCGTGTTGTAAATAATGAATTACAAGAAAATTTTGATGAATTTTTTCCACCTCCTCTAGATAATGAGAGGTTTTGATTACTTTAAATATAGTGCAAGAGGCGACCGTGAAATGTAATGTGTAAATTGTATTTTTTATTATTTTAAATTTTCCGGTTTTTTTTATAATGTACTTTTCTACATGTCATTGTATTTGAATAAAATATTTTTATTTGTGTACTATATAAGTAGTCTTGAGCATTATCAGAACTCGACATTCCTCAAATATTAAACAATGTAATACCTATTAATTGTTATAGTTGAAACATAAGCTCTGTAATTCAATATACTGATTTTGATCATGTTTAAACTAAATGTTACAATTTTTCTTATAAATAATTGTGCAAATACGCTTTTTAGATGTTAACAACGCATAACGTTATTGGACATTTTTTTAATTATACTGATTATTTTACAATATGTGTTTTATTTTGTACAAAGTAACCTTTCGGCCAAAAACTATCTTTCTTTATGTAATTGACATTTGTTAAGAAAAAAGCCTTTTTTTATATTTTCCAATGTGAGTATTGAATCATTGAGCAGTACTTGCTACTAAGAAATGATGACATCACCATACTCTCAGTTTTGTTCCTGTGCAACCGCCATCTTCCCAACTTACCTCTAGAAGAATTTCTGGACCGAGATATCCATTTATTTGGACCCGACTCAAGATTTGAACTCAGAACTTTATGATGCGCATACTGCATACTAATTAAAGTAGACATCAAAATACTTGCAATGTTTTCTTAATTGGAATTAGTGTTGAACGTGGATGAGTCGACCGCTTTTTCGCACAATTTTCCGTCATTTTACTGATTTTATTAAAAATTCAGCCATAAGGTTAAACGTAAAAAGTATTTATTGGCAGTAAGGAGATTCCCTAGCGGCAAATGGCACGACTTATAACAGTAAAAAATACGAATATACACTTTGTGCATAATTTTTTTATAGTTTTACATAAATGTTAAACAAATCGTACGGTAAATTACGATAATTGTTGAGTGGAATAATAATAAAAAAAAGAAAACACTGTTGTGTTCCTCGGTGTAAATCCTTCGTAGATGTCTACAAAATTATAAAATCAATCAAATTATAGCAATGATCATAGTAGATTTTTTAAAAACAATAAAAAATAACAATGAACTCACTCTGTTTACCACACAACTGAGAGTATCTGTCATACTTTTGTTCTGCAAACGGCCTTTAGAGATATTTTCCCACTGCTAATGTTTCAATTTTAAAAGTTGTTAACTGCTGTTTGTTTATAGCTAAGAAAGTATTATATAAACGTCATATGTCAAAATCAAGAATTAGCGTGCTTTGCTGCTTATGCTATACTTTTTTCGATTTATTTAAAGAACAAGTTTTTTTTAAATTATAAAACAATTTTTGAGAATAATTTTTTTTTAATAGTACTTAAACTTTTATCCTGTGACAAATTAGTACCAATCGAAAGTAAAGGACTTGTAGAAAATGCCATCATACGTTTGGCGGCCTTTCTCGAAACCACATTATCGTCATCCAAGTAACAACGAACAAATTTTAATACAAATTTAATGATATAGGGTGTTTATACCAAAACATCTCCAGGCTTTTAGTTAAAAATAGCCTGGAGCAAATAGTTGGTGCAAACCGCCCTGGGTCGTGCTTGTTAATGTTTTATGGTTTAAAAAATATAATTCGCCTGGAAAAAGAGTGAGGGCTCCACCACATACATCGGGATCTTAGACTATATAGTATAGATGTCAATTGTGTTATGAGATGTATTGAAATAAAATTCATCATAAATTGCAATCCAATATTTATTCAAATTATAAAAGTAAATGCAAACAAAATGTTAGCCGAACTGTGGCAAAGCATATAAATAGAAAAATTTGCGCTATCAAGTCAAATTTTCATGTCTTTTATTTATTTTACTCTTCCTTGCCTTCAGTTTTGGGCACAAAGGAAAAAATAATTGATGACTTCGGAGGGACGAGCACGTCGTTCGCATCCACCGACAAGTTTGTAGTGTAGCTGAAAACAAAGTACAATTATTGAAATTAAATAAACAAATATTATGTATTTTCTACACGAAAAAAAACTTTCTACAATTGGATAGATATTTTAAAAATTGAATTTAAATGGTTTTAAGGTTGATTTATTTTTAAACTATTGCAGAATGACATAATTTCTAAAACTGATGAAAATAAAATGGTCCGGTTAAAATTTTAAAAATATTTCCTTAGTTCGAGAGTCAGGCAAACTTTCTAAATTCCCATTTTATGAGCTTGTCTTGGGAATCGAATCCAAGGGCTTATATTATATTTATTATTATATTATATAATTAAAATAAATTCTTAGATTTACAAAAATATTGGATTTAAAATAAAACTATTTTTTCGGATTTTTTTGCAGATTTATTTTAATCTTTGGTTCCCGACGTTTCGAATGCTTTACAGCAATCATGGTCACGGAAGAGACTAAGGTTTTAGACGTCTCAAAGGTTAATATAGTTGTTACAGACTGCGCCTACCCACAAAATTTCAAAATAATTTCAAAAATATAAAAAAACTAGCAAAGTATTTTTGTAATTATCAAAATAAATCCGCAAAAAAATCGGACAGATAGTTTTATTTTAGCATAATATAATTATCTTCAGCTTTATAAACTAGAAGAGGATGTACAAGGATGTTCAGCACTCACTTGGTGTAGGCGTGCACGCGGCGCGACACGCGGTGCACGGATAGCGCGGCGGGCAGCGCGCGCAGCGCCGCGAGGTCGGCGCGCGCCTCCGCCGCGCCCGCGTTGTATACCGACACGTAGCCCGTGTGCCCCTTCGCCAGTCTGAACACAAACAATGCACGTCAAGTTATTCGATCTCACTCTCTTATTATATGTACATATGATGATGATAGACAAGAGTACCAGTTAAATCAGTTCTATTATTTACGAGTATAAGGAAAATAAATAGTTTCGAAAAGAAGTTGTCCCATATCATGAGTCATATTTTGTAATACATAATTAATTATCTAACGAGTAAAATCAGTTAGAAATTTCTTACATATGAAGAAAAAATCCACTAAAATATAATTAACTATTCATTAAAAATTTACCAAACAACTAACTCAGATATTACGTAACACATACACAAAACATGCTACCACCAAACCGAGTACCTCTCTCTACAATTTCGAAGTCACTTAAAAATATAACATGTCAAAAGTCGCCCGTCAACTACCTAGATTAGAACCATCTCCCAGTATATGACGATGCTAGGCCTGACGTCAGCAATCACGATCGCAACAAGTGGCAATAAAGTATAATATATAAATAGACCCCAAATAAGGAATACGTCAGGGCAATGATGATGATTTAAGTACGTAAGATGTGAGCTGGTACCTGACGCAGGCGAGCAGGTCGGGCGCGGCGCCGAGAGCTGCAAGCTCGTGGCGGCCGCGCTGCACGCTGGCGTCTGCGCGCAGCGACACCGCGTGCGACAGGCTCTCGCTCTGCACACACAGACACACACATTTATATTACAACAAAACATACAAAATTTCATCCCCTTAAAGGATGATTTTCGGGATAAAAACAATCCTATGTCCTTCCCAGTGTCTCAGACTATCTTCTTACCAAATTTAATCTAAATCGATTTTGTAGTTTCGGAGCCTGTTCGATGCAAGCAAACAACCAAGCAACAAAACAAATTTTTCCACTTTATAATATTAGAATAGATATACGAGTTGTTATGGTTAAGAAAGCAATCAACCAACGCGCACTTTGGTCAGCGTGGTGGCCTGATCCCCTCGTATTGAGGGGAGACCCACCTCCAGCAGTGGGACGTTTAAAATTTGATTGCACTGAATAATAACAAATACATATAAATATATATACTGATACGATGATTTGTAAAGAAAAAATTGTTTCATCAAATGTAAAAACCATTATAAATGGAACCGAATATGGAATGAAGGATAAATTACAATTGTACAAACATATCACATTTGCTAAATCCACATTCACTTGAATAATTTCCTTTTTGCTTATATAAAATTTTATATATGCTCTACGTTAGAGCTTATTATATGTACGATATAAATAAATACAATTATGCAAGATTTTCAAAAGTACTTCTCACAACTCCATTAAATATTTCATGTACCTTGTACGAGTACACAAGTATTGCACGTACAAAGTGGTCCCTCAAGCCGGATCAAATATAAATATTTTTTTAATGCAAAATGATAACATAAATGGTATTTACAACAGATGTGTCGTTCTCATGTTTGGGAAGCTGCTTAATGTCCAGGACGGGCGCGGCGGGCAGCAACATGGCGAACGCAGCCAGCTCACCCTCCTCGTCACCTTCGTCGGTCAACTGGAAAAGAATATTATTTGTCATGATAAAATGTTTTATTATCATATAATTTTGATGATAATTTCAATAAATGGTAATTGGTATTGTTACCATTGTCCCTTTCTTAGTAAAAGAGCTTAAGTCTAATTTAATTTAGTTATTATTAAAAGCTAAAATCCGCCAATAATATAAAAAATATATAAAATATAATAATAATAATATATAAAATATAAAACTGCGTGAAAGTATGAAATATTTGCGACTAATCCATTTTCGTCTAAGAAAGCAAACCTAAAATATTATAATACTAATTATTCTTACATATTTTTTTTTCATTTTACTATTAACATACCAGTGTAAGAATGAACGAATGATCAAAACAGATTTTAAATCAGAAATATTAGAATTTTTGCTGTTTTTCATTAGTGTATAACTATTCAATTCAATCGGTTTCCATCCATACAATTAAATCTATATTATAGTACATCGATCAAAAAATTACTAGATACGCAATCCCATACAAAGGTTCTCTTAAAACTGTCACCAATTGTGTTTAGGTAATTATTCTAGTTGCAATAAATATACAACAATGTAAATTACATCTTAAATGCAATGCTTAAAGTTGTTTTTACAAAAAAAAATCGCGCTCAAATGTTCAAATGAGCGCTCATTTGGTGAGGACACTTTTTAACGATGATTCTGTATCTAGTACTTTTTTAATTTATGATATAGTAATAGTAATAATAATTAGACTTTACAAATATATGAATGTTGTGGGTGTGTCTATGTTGCATGCGTGTGCGTGTATGCGTATGCAAGAGGGCGCGTGAGTATATGTACGAATGCGTGTATATATGCATGTATGTGTATGTATGTACAGTAACCGACGGTAAATAATAATGTACATCGAGTTAAAAGGGAGAAAATCGGCTAATTTCAGTTTTGTAGAGCGAGCGTCTCAGTCACTCAGTATATATACGATTGTCTCCCTCCTTAGCTCGCTGTGCATTATTGACTGCAGGTTACTGTATGTGCGTGTGTGTGCGTGCGTGTGTGTGTGTCCGTGCGTACCTGCAGCAGGGGCCACCGCCGCAGCAGCGGCTCCAGCGCGGCGGCGGCGGCGGCAGCGGGCCGCACGGCGCGCGGCGCGGCGGCGGGCGGCCGCAGCGCGCTAGTGTTGCGCTCCAGCAGGAACAGCTCCGCGCGCGACCCGTCCTCCGCCATCGTGAACACCGTCTCCTCTGCAAACGACACGGTTATATTTCAATCACATGCATTTACAGAACCAACTAATGTATATCATCTAGCGAAAGGCCATTGTTTTGCTCGGGTGGACGAATCCGAGCGATATTATATACAGATATAATGTCATCTATCAAGTTACAAAAAAATAAAAAAATAAAAATAATATTATTCATAGAAACTTTACAACCTATATCACAAGAGCAAGAATATGCTATAATATTTCATCTCTTCTATAGTTTGTCTTAAACATTAGTGCATTAATCAAAACTAGCTCTACTACCAGCGGCACCAGCGGGCACCAGTAGCAGTGCACTCACCGGCGGGCTGCGCGGTGGCGACCATGTGCGCCCAGTGTGCCAGCAGCGGGTCGAGCGCGGGCTGGTCGCTGGTGTGTCGGTGGCGCCAGTAGGCGTGCTGCGTGTGGTCGGCGCCGGGTGCGCTGCCGCTGCCCACGCGCGCCGCCTCGTCCGGCAGCGAGCTGTTCACCAGCAGCTCGCGAGCTTTCACCAGTCTGGCAGAGTTGATGGTCAGTTGTTATGTACTTAATACCTTCTTTGATTTACACGAATATTTCACGTTTTAAATAAAACTATCATTTCAGATTTTTTGTTCACGGGACCATGATTGCTTTGAAAGATCAGGAACCAAAAATCAAAATAAATCCGCGAAATAGTCGTAAAAAAGATAGTTTTATTTAAAATATCATGTACTTTTTTCAAAAAATAGTAATATACATATATTCACAAACTAAAGTAATAATGTTTATGACCAACATTATTTTTGATGATGTTTTATAAAATGTGGACATTACGTTTGAAGACACAGTTATACTTTGTGTTTGTTGACGATTAAAGATTATGGTAGATATTTTAGAATAACGGTGAATACAATATCAATGAGTTTGATTAAACATATAAGTTAATCTTACAAAATCTGTTTTTATAAAATCTTCTATATATTTTTAAATAAATTTATATGCTACTACTATAATCTACTACTATCTGATCTCTTTTTTGAGTGTCCATCTTTAAAAAATCCTAAGCAAACACAAAAAAAAATATCTACTCAATTTGTGTCAGAGAAAATACTTCACCAAAATTTTAAACATCAAATCTTGACTCATAATAATTAAAATAAAAAAAAACATCTTAACTACCTAACACCAGCAGCACCAGCTTGCATCCAGATCCTCAAGACTGCGTCGAACTGTTTCACCACTTCTGGGTTATGGAAGTTGAGGTCGGGCTGCTCCTCCTCAAAGTGGTGCAAGTAGAACTCCTTGCGCTTCTCGCTGTAGCTCCACATTGGTGTGTTTAGTGTTGATACCTGCATTATAAAAGAATAAACAAGAGAACTAAGAAGAAGAAAAAGAAATTTTAAGATAGCTTTTGAAATACCATATAACTACTAAGTTACCGTGGCTTCACTCGTTGTAGGTATGTCAATAAAAACTGCATTTTTTGATAATCCATGGGAAAGATCCATTAAGTTTACTCAAAACACGTTACAGCACAAAGAAATAACAAATTCACTCTTTTACAAAAATTCGCGTTTTCAATATATATATAATTTTGCTTTATTCAAGTAACATTGTGTCAGGACTCATCTGTATGACAAAGACTAGGTCTTTACCCCTACATATGTGAGTGCTAATATAAATGCAAAAGTTTATACTTCGTCCTCTCAATGCGTATTTGTCCAAGCAACCAATTTACCGAAAGAGTTTTTAATACAGAATTATGACTTTTAAATGCCAAGTGCCAACTCTATTGATATCAAATACACATTATACTTTTACCTAAATATATTCCTAGCGTCCCTAGTAATAACTAATATCTATTTGTAGTTTCAGTTCAAGTGCGAAGTAATCTTACCCAATTGTTAGGTGGCTTTGGCTCGGACTTCTCAGGGTCGAACTCCTGACCTTTGGCCCAAATGAAGTAGTCACTGTATGGGGCTGTACCGTTTTCGCTCTGTTGGAACCACTGATGCGTTTTAGACACGAAGTTTGCTGTCAGGTCCACGATCACTCTGCGATAGATATATTAAAAACTATGTAATTAATGAATCACATGAACTCAATCCATATTGATATTATAAACCACTGAAGCAATTCTAATGAATTTCAGTATAGAGATGGATGAGATCTTGGAGAAAGACATGGCTACTGTTTGTCGCAAAAATAAAAGTTTAAGGTGTGAAATACGATATAATTTTGGTAAGAAATAAAGAATGTTTCGACGGTTTAGACCAATCAAAGTAAAATAGGGGATGATTTCGAGTTTATTTTAAGTACATACCTACATTTCTATACCTATGTATCTATTCCATACTAACCGTTAAAACGCACCAAGGGTCCAACCCGAGTGAAGCGTGGGTGAGTTGCTAGTAAGAAATAAACATGATAAGCTATCGATGACTGAATATACATCAGTCAAGCCATATTAAATATTTGTCACATTTCGACACTTTAAGTGTCTTCTTCTATTTGCGAATGTATTTAATGAACGGCCTCTATAAAACTGATAAGCGTTATTCACGAATTCCTATTTAAAATAAATACTTTATTGCTGCTGCTTTATTGCAAAAAACCAGGTCAACTTCCAACTAAATTTTATAGATTATTTAAGCTTACAATAATAATAGTATAAAATAATGTTGCTGACTACGTCTGTCTGTTTCTCCGCTTACTTCTTCTTAGCCACCCAACGGATTTTGATACGATTTTTATTAATGGAAAGAGCGGTAAACGAGGAAGGTTTGTGTATTTAATTTGTAAATATTTTGTACAAAATGGCTGAGCCTAGACAGTGTTATGTCCCCGGGGGAGAAGCCAACTCCTACCGGGCGCGTCCCCAGGTGGCGGATAGGGGAATGCCACCCGCTTAGGGCGGCGGGTGGTACCGGAGAAATCCGGCGCGGACCAAATGGCTTGGATGGGGCCGCTCGTCTAGGCCTCGAGCCGAAGACGTTGCGGCCACCGGTGGTGGGACCGCTTGGTCCCACAACCGGATGATGGGTGCCGGTTGCGGGACTGTGGTCGCAGGCCCGCATCCGGCGGAGGAGTAGGCCGCGGCGGGAGAGGAGTGCCGGTATTTCGGTGCGCCGTTCTCCCTACCTTCCGCGGCCTAGACGGGGCCGCCACCGTTCGATGGCGGACGCGGTGGGGCTGCAGGGGAAGAGGAGTGTCGGTGTTTCGTTGCCGCTCTCCCTGTCCTCTGCAGCCGATTGGAGGTGGCCCACTTCGGTGGGCGGTGGTTAGGTTTAATGGGGCTGCTCCGGGTACCTCTCTGGCGTAGCAGAGTTGACTGTGGAGCAGCCCCATTGGTTTGGTGGTCTGCCTTATTAGGCAGACCTGCCGCCGGGGCGCCGTAGTAGTTATGCGCAAGCGATCCTGCGGCGTCCCATTAAGGCGGAGGGGAGGGGAATGTCGGGTTTTAGTGGGTAGTACCGGCTCTTCTAGCCGGTGAGCCCCACATCACCACCTGGGGGATCAGGTGGTATGCGTAAATGCATTTCCCGACATAAAAAAAAAAAAAAAAAAAAAGACAGTGTTATGTCACAGGAACTGTTTTCGTACGTTTACACGGCTAACGCCGGCTAAACCTTTAGAGATACATCAAAACTATGTACTAGAAAATTGCAGGTTAAAGAAAGGCCTGTAGAAAAGTCCGCGATAGCGTATGTCTATCTCCTAAGGTACACTCACAATAACTATTTTTATCCATACAAAATTTACGTAGTTTATACAATTATTTACATTAATTATTACAATAAAGTAAATTAATAAAAAATATACATACTTCACACCGGCGTTCTTGGTCTTCTCCACCAGCTGCTTGAACTGGTCGAGGCAAGAGCTTTGTTCTTCCAGCACTTCATATGAATCTTTGCACGCAAACGCGAATATACCGGTTACTTGATAGTTTTCCAGCGTTTCCAGGTCATTGATAATATCATTGTAGTCTTCCACCGAAGACATGTCTACTAGAGGTCCCTTCTCATACCTAGAATAAAAGTTATAAGGGTGGAAAAATGAAAGGGCCAACGTTACACAGCTTACAGAGATTTTACAGGAAAGTGATCGTAGATGATAAAGTCCTAAATTGTATGTAATAGACAATAGTGGAAAATGTTCAAAGCGCCAGTTTTACTTTAATACTTTTTTAAAATAAAAACAAGCACCTGTATTATTGAACTAGCCCATTTGTGTCGCTTCGAAGAAAATAAATTAGTATAAATAAATATTACTAAAATATCTTGAATGAAGTTGACATTGCTTTTTTTTTATTTTAATAAGATTCATATTTGTATCTGAAAATGTGTCTGTCCATTGGTGCTTTGGAGAAGAAAAGTAACTTTTCAATTTATATATAGTTTATAGATCAAAAGTGGTGCCTTTAATCCCATAACAAAAGCCGCCTGTATAGCATAGTGCCAACATTTAGATATTCTTGCTAGTATCATAAATGCCAAAGTTTATGAGTTCGTATGTTTGTTGGTTCTACGCGCTTTGTCAATTTCAAATTTGACATTGCTTATTCTAAGTGAATTTATATAAAACAACAAATTTAGTTAGGTTGCCAGACGAAGGAATAAAAAGCCATAATTTACCATTTAATTAGCCATAATTTAAGTACGTTAGTTTTTAAAGTTACGTTAGTTTTTACTATAAGATTATAGTAGAGGTTCGATATTATATTTTATTATAATTATAATAAACTAAAAGACGCGCCTTATATTTTATGTATTGCATACATTTGCATACATATAATAAATTTCTAACTGAGTTGAATCTGTACATTAAATATTTTTTGGAAAATCTTATTGAAATAGTCATTATTATCGATATAGAGGCCGAATCTATAGTTTTTAGAATTTTTGTCTGTCCGTTTGTCTATCCGGTAAGGCATCACGAGAAAACCACTGGACTGATTTAGATGAAATTTTGTATGATTATAGCTGGTTACGTAGGATACTTTTTACTGCGGGAAAATACCTATATCATCTTTGAGAAATCTATACTAAACGTTAAAACGTATCGCAAGTTAAATAAATAACATTACAATACGCTTGCAACACGCTCTCAATAGATAAGTGTACATTACACATGGCGATAACACATTAAAAAAAATGATAACCCTGATGCTTGGGTTCCTTCAATCAATTAGTTTTACCCATTTATTTTATAGCTTTTGTACTTTCAAAACTTAAAATCTGTTGTTATTATAGATAACTTTAGTTAAAAAATATAATTATTAATAATTTCAACAGCATAGTCGTTGTTGAAAAATAATTGGGCGTTTTCTAAATATATCTAATTATTATGTTTTTGACTTCACTGGTATATGCTTTTCTGATCTTTGTATTAAGAAATTGATTTGGGATAACCAAAACGCACAATAATACTACCACTCCCATGTGTGTTCTGAATACATTAATTTGACAAATCAAAATTTACTAAAATTAATTATTTAAATAAATAAATATTGCTGCCGTAATTACCATCGAGATCAATGTCATCAAAATGAGCAAAACAAAAACCCCTCCCCCCAACCCGCCTCCTCTCACCCTCTCCTCTCCCCTTACGTGCTTACGTAATACTTGATTAAACTAGAACTAACTAAACGAAAGACTATTACCATGTGCGTGGTGGCGGCGGAGAGCACTTGGGCGCCTTCACGATGATGGCGATGGCCCCCGCCAGCATGCACAGCCACAGCGCCCAGAACAATATGAACATGAACCACCGGAGTCGTATCCAGAATGGGTCCTCTGCATACTTCATCAGTTCCTCCTTTGTGAGTCCGGTGAATTGCTGCATTGAAAGGCATTTGTTATAAATTGTTGCATAATAATAATATGTATGTATATTAAATAAATATATATAATATTTAAAGTATTTTTATATAAGATTTGTGTTATTCTATAGTTGTTTTTTATTTATAAACATTATCCAATTATCATTAGTACGGTATTGTACTAGTGGTAAATTAAATTATGCGATACCATAAATGCATCCATATATCATGCAACACAACAGTACTTAACTACTACTTGTAAGTTTTCAATTCAATTCAATTTCCTTGTAATGGCTTCAAAACATGATAGTTTTCACGACTGCACTATTTGTAATGAAGAACTTCATTTAGACCCTTTTAGATTGGAGTGTAGCTCATGTCGCTCTCTATGTTATTGATTACACCACACAGGATATTTCAACAAGATAGGTAACCTCGACTTATGAGGTTACAGACAAACAAGCAAAAATCATTTTAATAAGGATTAAAAACCACAATTCAAAAAGTAAAGTTCTAATAATGCCTTCCGATTTTCATCTAGTCAGCTAGCTACAAGACTACCGAATCCGTATTAAAAAATATATATAAAAATGTGAAAGTTTATGAGTACGGATGTTTGTTACTCTTTCACGTCAGAATGGCGGAATGTATCTGAATGAAATTTGCCACAGAGACAGTCTGGAATAACACATAGGCTTCTTTTTATCCCAGAAAATTATACGGTTCCCGAGGGATAGATTTGTTTTTGTTTTTTTATTTGTGGTATTGAATTATAAAAACGTACCCGCTTATTAGCATCCAGTTCTATCTTAGCGTCCCCATTTCTATGGTCACCGACCACATACTTGGCGTCAGCCATATCTACGCGTGTGGTGATTTTCGCCTCGTCCTCCTTTTGCAGTAGCTTTTCCTCAGCACCGTCAGATGAAACCTTCTCCTTGGACTTGTGCAGACTTGCCTTGGAGGTCCGGAATTCTGAAAACGCATTGATATTATAAAAAAATGTATGTAAATTGTAAATACTTATTAGGTTTCATCCTAAATTAAAAGTAATATTTTTAGAGTTTTCTATAAAAAATTGGCTTAGACGGTCCTATAATCAATAACTTTAGAATTTGTCTGCCAGTCTTGGTTTAATCTGACTTAGGCGAGACTGGCCGAACGGACCTTAGTAGTAAATTTTATTGTAGGTATTTGCCTTAGAAAAACAAGCTTAGTCACAATTTGCAAATATATTATGGCAATAATATTAAATCTAATTTAGTTAATACAAAAAACGACTAAAAAAATAGTATATAAGGACTTACAGTACTTGAAAACAAAACCTTCTACATGATCGACTATAACACGACGGGATATTTTAAAACTTGTTACATATGCTGTAATTTAACTATTTTTTACACGACACAAAGTCGTGCGACATTTAACTTTTCGATTATTCAAAATATTTATATATTAGAATAGCTATGTTAAATAACTTCATTTAAAAATATATTAATGTACTGAACATGTCCTGACTTGTTAATCACTGAATCAAGATTGCGGAACAAATGAGGCCGAAGGAAAATATTTTTTTCATTAATTTACGACCATTTTAAATGATCCACGCTTTATATCGATACTGATAGTATGGAGAGATCAAGCTATACTTTTCGATCTAAACGAACGACTAGATTGACACTTATCTACTTTTTATTTCCTACACGAATAGAAATTTTATACATTTTTTATTTAAAATTTAATTTTAATTACTTGTATTTTCTATTTTAAGTTTTATTAGATTGATTAGTTTTATCAATACAATATACATAACTCGTATATATAAAACATTTGTCTTGGTTGATTCATCAAGCCAAAGCAAAAAGACCATATATAGATATACATTGTATTTATCGTGTTAGGAATAACCACTAAGAAAGGTTTTAAATCAACAATCAATCAGCTTTTAAATCAACAGCTAATGAGATGAAAAGGGAAAGCAAATTTTTACGGAACGCAAAGACCATAAATTTTACTTAAAACATGTTATTGATTATAGTATAATAATTAATAACTCGATACAATAAAAACAACCACTTCTACATTTTTTGAGATCAAAGGGTTTACCAAATTCTTATAATAAAATAATTCTTTGGGAAGTGTCAAATTAAATAAACAACGAGGAAAGCCGGGGCAAATCGGTAGTTTAGTATATGCTTTAAAATTTACAAATCAACAAAAGTTAATAACAAACATATCCATTTTCTTAATTTAAAATGTAAATACGCTCCGAGCCATGCTGATGACACTAATTAGAAGAAATATGTATCTTTGTATGTACTTATAACTTAAAAGAAGGCACAACGTCATCGTAAAAACACACGTGTATATATGTATACCATGAACGAATTAACAATTCGTCCATGATGTATACATAGTATAGAAAACACTTGAACTATAATAATAATGTATATGAAAAAATACTTATTACTAAAGTACACACAATTCGGCTATTTTTCAACCGACTTCCTCAAAAAGGAGGAGGTTCTCAATTGAGCTGTATGTTTTTTTTATGTTTGTTGCCTCAGAACTCCGTCATTTATTAACCGATCTGGACAATTTTTGTTTTCTTTGAAGGTGTATACTTCCAGATTGGTCCCATTTAAATTTCAAAGAAAAAAACCACCCCTAAGGGTGGAAAAATAGCTAATGATAAATTTAACCTACGTCTAATTGTCATATTGACTTGAAACTTCGCAAATGTTTCTATTTCCGTTGATAGTACAGTGGTTCGGTATTGTTGACCTGATCTGATGGTAAGGCCAAAAGGTGGATAGGTGGAACTCTTCAACGACTAATAGTAGATACTTTGAGTTTGGGCTTATTTTGTTTTGATTTGACAAGCCTAACACTTTTAAATCGGATTTTAGAACCAGAATTTTTAGTGTTACTAATAAAAGTTGTAATAACTGTTGAGTTTTTCGCCGGTTCTTCTTAGCAGAACTGGTTTCCGAGCCGATGGTAGCTTCCTCACGGACTGACTACACTGACGCTTTCATTAAATAGACGATTCAAAAGTACTTGTAATAAGTCTAATTGAATAAAGTTTATTTCATTCATTTAAAAGCGAATTTTAGTTTGTAAGTCTTCTTATAAAAATTGACATCAAAGTAACCGCTTACGGTTTAAGCGAATATTTTATTAAAATACTTTCTTCTTACTTTGCTACTACTGTCTACACTAAATAGGGAAAAATAAAGATTTTTTACAAAAAAATAAAAACCGACTTCAAAAAAAGCACTAAGAAGAAAAAAATAACAGATTGGTAGTTTTCATTTACTATACATACCTAATCAAATATTTTCAAAGTCGGAGCCAGCCGATACAAATCAAAGCACGAAAATATCTTATTAAGTATCTATTCTAAATGAAAACCTCCGTTTAGTTATTTTTTACATTTTAGTGCCTGGAAGTCGGTTTTTTTTTTAAGTTTTTATTGATATCACAGGCACTTCACTGTCAACTTCAAATGACTCTAATGTCGATTTTCATACATATATTATAAGCACATTTCATTTAAATCATATAAAGCGAGGTCAAGATGTTATTATTTTAAGTAGAACTCTCCCGAGCTTTGTCACAGTAAAAAGCTACTGGCAAGTTAATGAATATATTGTGTAGGATCAATTGAAATCGTTAGATCAATTAGTCTTAATAGAATAAGCACATTGATTACAATAGCACAAATGTTCCTAATAACAACAGTAAATGAAATCTTTTATATTGTTAGCAGGAAGAACTAAAAAATTACGACCAAATGCATTAAAACTTCTCCCACAGCTAAGACTAATGACTAATGATAAACAAACACATCGTTAATGAAAAAGAGAGATGCTTTCTGTAACAAATATATAATGATTTGACCTTTGAGTCCAAAACCTTAGTCTCTCACGGGACCATGAAAAAGCATTCGAAACGTCGGGAACCAAAAATCAATATAAATACCCAAAAATAGTAGTTCTATTTAAAATCATAAAGAGAATTAGACATACACAGCATTCTTCTTTAGCTGCAATCGGATAAAAACTGAATATATCTTAGTTTTACATAAATAATTTCAAACACCTAAAAAGTACATTCATTTATTTTTTGGTGATGAAAGACAAAAAATGACTTACAGACTGGACGTCTTCACCCGACACAGATCTTGCAAACACTAAGTTACTCCATCGCATTGGGGTTAAACAAAAAGAGGTTACACTGTCAATAACCGTCGAGCCTGTTTACGATAGCTGTCGGAAGGTTCCGTACATTTGGCATAGCTTGTTTATTCCTTTTGTACACAATATATAATGTACGTACCTAATGGAAGACTAATATTTCCGAAGGACTTACCTTCTATAGTGAAGTAAATATTCAGAATTGACAAAATTCTGCTCAATACCTACTTACTTAGTAAAGAATTGATATCCTGATATTCTACGAATCATTGATTCGAAAATTGACCTAACATTTAAAACGGAGACAAAGCTTACCTATGAAAACTATATCAACAGTCTATATTTATAAATAAAATTGAAGTGTATGTATGTTAATTAAATTTGCAATCACAAAGCTCAAATTAAATTAACTCGCATAGCGCAAATAGCACGATACCGAACTCTAAAAAAATATTATAAAGATCTAAGGTAAGGTATTTTGGCTGTCTGTTTGTACCATCTCAATTCTGAAACAGCTCTACCAATTTAAACAAAACTTTAATTGGCGGATAGATGATTCAGACAAGGTTAACGCAAGATAGAGGATAGGAGAACGATCTGATTTAACGCCACCGTCGTGGTAAAAAGTGCTAATGAGTGACAAAATCTATTTACTTTCGTAGCACGAAGAGAAAGCTAGTGTAAAATAAAAAAAACAACGAAAACCATCAATCTACTACATACTAGCTCTATGGAAAATATTTGTGGACACCATAACCTGTACTTCTGTACTAATATTATAAAGAGGTAAAGTTTGTGAGTTTGTGACGTTGTAGGGGGTAATTTCTGGATCTACTGAACCGATTTAGATGAAATTTGGTAAGAAGATAGTCTGATACCCTGGGAAGGACATAGCATACTTTGTATCTCGGAAATTTAAGGGGGTGAAAATGGGGATGAAAGTTTGTATCGGGAAGCAAGCTAGGGACGAACCCGAGCGAAGCTAGGGTCAGTCACTAGTATATAATAATATAAAAACTACATCCTATTGTAATGAACCCTTTGTAATACACCTTTATAATAACTTTTATACAATATCTTCAGATAAGTTGATCACCAAAACCAGTCGTGTTACTTTTTCAGAGTTTAAATTAACTGTTCCAGGAAGACACAAAACGCAGGCAGTACTGCATTCCAGCGTCCAACAGGCACGTTACACGTTTTCCAAGAACGATTTTAACGATTCGTTTAAAATAAATGAAAAAAGCACTTGAGCACACGTAATTTTATACACATAAAAGTTCTATACACACGAGAGAAAGCGTTTATTTCTCCCACTGATAGACACTTCATATACTTGTTATACACATATCGTTAAATATAAGAATGGAAAAATATTACTATATATTATAATTAAATTAAACTTTTCAATTTCAAATCAATTCAGAAACTATAATAGAACACCGTTGAAGTAATTTTGTTGGAAAGAACCTTACTTTCAAAAGCAAAGACGTCTTCACCTAACGCTGGTGTATGAAGCACTAAAGAGTTATGTCAATCATATAAATTCTCTTTACATCATTGTTTATCGCTAAGCCCCAGTCAGGAATTTCCATCAGATCCCGAAGAACCAGAACCCATTTGCTTTATCATTAAGGTTAGGTGAGTAATAGTAATCATTTATGGATTAAAAATAAGTGCAAAGAAAGAAAATAAGTTGTAAGGTATATATTTTTTTCTTTTACATTTTTTGTAAATACCTCGTTTTATAAGCTTAAAATCGCGGTTAGCTTTATTATAAAAGTTATAGAACATAAGGTTCCGTACAAATTTTGTTGTAAGCAATTGTGTATCCATTAAAACTTTCTTGAGACAGAGCGCAGAGTGAGGAATGCTAAAACGAACTATGTATCTACATATACTTATCTCGTAGGCATATCGTTTGTTTCGATTTTTTACAAACGTTACCATCTGGTTATAACAGCTCGCACTTTTGTTAATATTCTGAAGGCAAATAGTAAAACTTTGCTTCGTCAAATGTAAGCATAAGGTTTCCCATCACCCTTCTGGGAAGAAGGGTTCGAGAAAAGACAGCTCAAAGAGTAAAAAAAATATGCTTGCGACATAGGTATATGTATGTATATGTAAATAGTATATGCGATTTATAAAGTTAATTCATTAAAAATATTATAATTATGAAAAAGCCATAATTATTTAATATTCATATATTGAATCACATACATTTATTAATAGATGATTCTTTAAATTGACATAACTTTTTCATTTATGAACCGATTGAAATAAAACAAATGCTAAATGTTAAGTGAAGCTCACCACAATACATTGTGAAAACCGCACCCAAATCGGTTAAGTCGTTTCTGAGATTAGCGCGAACAAACGCGCAGACAAAAAAATCTAAAAATCATTGTTTTGGATTCTATTGCGTTAATAGAGACCTCCAATTTTTACAGTTGTACTTTTCTTATATGTATTAATATTCACTTATTTCATATAAGTAGGAATTACCAAATTACTTTGTTTGGTTACTCATCTATACATATAATAAAATTCTGGCTAAGTCGAATCTGTACATTAAATATTTTTTGGAAAATCTTATTGAAAAAGTCATTATTGTCGATACGGAGGCCGAATCTATGGTTTTTTAAATTTTTGTCTGTCTGTCTGTTACCGCATCACAGAAAAACCACGGGAGGGGTTTTGATAAATCTTGGTATGATGATAGCTGGTTATCCCGGTCAACATATACTTTTTACTGCGGGAAAATATCTCATTTCTGAGAAAAATACAAAAGAGTATACTAATATGTAAAACCTAAGAATTTGGTTTTTGGGGATCTGAACACAGGCGGAGCCGCGGGCAATGCTAGTTTGTTATAACTTATAAACAAACTTATTAGTAAGCGATTACGAATTATTCAATAAAAAAAATAAAGTATGTAGTAGAATTTCTGCAATGTACAAGTACTATAAGGAAAATACAATTAAAACTAATTAAATATTGTAACGTGCACATATTTCATACGAATATGGTATTAGCCAATAAATGTTCCAAAATACTGAATAAAAATAAATCCGTATAATGTGTCTGCATTGTTAAGGACCCCTAAAAACGGGTCCTTTGAACCCTTTCAAGATACCAAGAAGAATGACGCAAATCGCGGACAGATGTACATAGCCGCTGTAGTGCAGCTACAGCATACAATGGGGTGAAAAGATTTATTGAAAAGGTTGAAATTATAATAGATTGAAGTGAAAAGAATCCTGCAAAGATTAGCCGTAAGTTTTAAGCTTTATTAGCTTTCTAACCTCAGCCGCTCTTAGTTTAAATTAACATTTAAATTTTAATTTGATCAAAAATTATTTCGTTTTAAAACAACGTTGTCTTTCAATTTTCGAGAATCAATTTTTTTATTCAAATTAAAGAATTAAACTAAAACATTCACATATACTACCAAATACCAATAACTAACTTTATAAGAAACTAGCGATTCACCCTCACTCCGCTCGGGTTCGTCCCTAGTTACGTTTTAACGTATAGTATAGTTTTGTCAGAGATGAGACATTTTCCCGCCATAAAAAGTATCCTATATGTTGACCCGGATAACCAGCTAACATCATACCAAGTTTCATCAAAATCCCTCCAGTGATTTTTCCGTGGTCACAGACAGACATACAGACAAAAATTCTAAAGACTATAGATTCGACCTCTGCATCGATAATAGTGACTATTTCAATAAGATTTTCGAACAGATTCATTTGGTTACCTTTGTTACGTTTTCTTTTGTCTCATGTTTTTCCATTATTCATATATTGTTGGATGATTCCACTTGTACATTAACACTGCGTTTGATTTATTTTAGATAATTTTTAACTCATAATGTTAGCCTAGCATGATAGCATTACCCTACTAAAATAAAATCTCTTCAATCGCTTGCTAAATTTAACATAGTACCTACTTAGTATTTAATAGACGAGATGTCGTTTGCATAAAAATCTGTATGAGCTATTTATAATTATATTAATTAATTTACGAGAACTAAACTTAATAATGATCCTAATAGCTTATTGCCTGTATTAGACAATCACTTAGTATTATATAATAACTTGGGACTGTCTAATAACTATGGCATTTTTAAGTGTGTTTTTTCAATTTTTTAGAAATCAAGTAAGATCACTTGAAAACACTCATATATGATTGTTTATGAAAATATTTAATTATCTAAAACATAGCAATTATAATTTATACTAATATTATAGAGGTAAAGTTTGTGAGTTTGTGACATTGTAGGGGGTAATCTCTGGATCTACTGAACCGATTTAGATGAAATTTGGTAAGAAAATAGTTTGAGACCCTGTACAATTAAGGACAGGATAGTTTTCATGCTGGAAATTATCCCTTAAGGGGATGAAAGTTTGTACGGGGAAGCAATCTAGGGATAAGCCCAAGCAAAGCGAGGGTGAGTCGCTAGTACTAAATAAAAACTTGCTTTTTGTTACATGTTCTAATATTTATTTGTTACACTTACACATAAAATATACACTAATGTTGATTATTATTTAAACTAAAAACCACAGTGGATATTCATAATTATAGTCTGAATAAATAGTAGCTACTTGTTATCAATGGCATATAAGTACTTCTTTTAATTCATGAATACATAATTTATGAAAGTTATTTAACTTGGTCCAAAATTTCCAAGGAACTGTTGAAATAATCTATTTCGTTCCCTCTGTATGCTGTTAGATTCCTCGACAATATTTATTAATCTATCCAGCTTTTCCTCCACAACCCTCTGTCTATCTCGCATTTCTAAAGCAACTTTTTTAAACTCTGAATTCCTTTTTTTAAGCATTTTTCGTCTTATTTCATCATTTTGAAAGCTTGTAGCTTCATTGTCATCGCTCTCAACTACTTTTGAGGTTGTGGTCATTTCTAATAGTTCTCTAGTGAGCCTATCATTTGTCCCTTCTTTAACTTTTTGCCTAATTTCTGGCTGGTATTCACCATCTACATTGTATATTTCTTCAAAGGCATCAAAATATGGCCATTTGAATGCTGTAACACCACTTACTTTCTTTTTCCTCAACAATCTTATGTATGTTTGCTTTAAATTTCTAAATTTTTTGTCACAGCTGTCAGGAGTTTTGTTACCGACCCCACTCGCAATATCCATCCAAACATTCTTTTTCCTGATGTGTGGATTTCTAAATTTATCAATATTCTGTAAATAGAGAGATAGCATACTAGCTATGCTTTCATGATCCCAGTGGTCGTCAGGATCGTCGGCGGCGCTCTCCATATTCTCAGATTGACTAAGTTCCATGTATTCCGCGTCTGCTTCAATAAATTTTTCAACCCCTAAAAATAAAATCTTCCGTCACGATTTTTTTTATTTCTCTTCCGCAAGTAACATTTCTTAATGACCGAACTAAAGACGGGACTACACAGCTATTGTGCCCTGTTTAGATCAATTCTCAATTGGAGTTTATAAGAACATCCTGAGATCCAATTTCCACTGAAGTAGTCTCTTGACGAGACACACTAATAAAATTCAGTTTTTCAAATAACGAATAATAAATTAAACGATAAATATTAACCGTCAAATTGCTAAAAATGTTTACTTTTGTATTATTTTCAGTATAATTATACAAAGAAATACGCAAAATCTTCTTTTAATTGCATCAGTCGGCGAACTGACAACAAAATGGCGCTGCTACACTTTCGGAACCGTCCAATGAAAGCGCTTTATCATACGACCAAATTGAGTTGTCTTCAATATAGATTTTTATAAATAAAATAAAAAAATATCGATATTTTTTGCATTTGGACAAAACGGGAAGAAACCTTTCTCTTCATTTTAAAACATATTTAATACAAAATATGCTAAAAATAACATATTATTGTTGAATATTTCTTAGGAATAAGGACATTTTAAATTAGCAGGGTTATAAGCGTTATTTGACATTTTAAGCGCCTTTTATCTTGAATCATGTCAAGGATCAGCTGATGAATTGCTAATTTACATATAAATCAAATAAAGAACCATCACACAATAATCGTTTATCATTATTTTTTTGCGATGTTTGAGTTTTAGTAAATTTTTAATAACTTTTAATAGTAGTTATGTGGTAAGTAATAGTATGACATTTTTGTGATGAATAATTATTACTTAAATACTACATACGAATATTACTGTCGCATCGATCAATGAATATCAATTCATGTACGAAATTACCTGTATCAGATTCAGGAATAGGTTTATATGAGGCGACGTGTTCATCTTCTGTTACTTGGCCCCCATCTATGGTAAGATGGTTTTTCCGTGTCTCCGACATGATGAAATGCCTTTTCTTAAACCAGTTTTGCCCGTAAAATGCTTTCACTCAATCTTAATGACTTAAAATTGCAGCACAATTACTATAATTATCTTTCACTACCATTAACTATGAGCGAGATCGATCACCCCGCGCCCGCTGACAGCTGGTGAAGTGAATGAATGAGAGTTGACTTTAAGAAGTGAATGAAATGTGCATTCACCAGACACTACGCCCAGAAATCAATTAATAGACTGCGTTCAAAATTATTTAGAGTTTTAAAATTACATGTGAAATAATCTTAAGTATATCATATATAATAATTTTATTTACAATATACTTATGTAAAAACATTGCTTTCTAATTATTAAATTAACATTGTTTTGTATCCTACATTTTTTTTAATAGACCAAGACAAATGAGAGAAATTACATTATATTTTAGAACTTCAATGATCAATCAGCCGAAGCTTCCTTGTCTGTAATCAGCTGTTTGTCAAAATGAATGAACGGTTGTTATTATTTAACAAAGTCCAAAAAAGATAACAGAACTATATATAAATGTATAAAAATAGAAGTGTAACATAACGCTTGGGGATTACAATGTGTACAATACCACCAGCGCCACCACCGCCACCACCGCCGCCACCTTCTGTTCCTCTAAGTTCGCCAGATAAATCTTCTGACAGTTCGCCAACTTTCAGCTACTCGGATGTTTGTGAGTGGGCTGCCCATGAACCCCAACTAAGGGAAGTATGTGCAAAAAATAATCTCTGCTTACATGAGACTCCATTTCATTTTAAATACAAACATTTTGAATCTATTATCCAAATAGGACCTACATGTGGATTAGTTGCGCTTTCAATGCTTTTGAATGGGGAAGTAGCCCCTGAAGAGCTGTTAAATATCACTAAAATGGAAGGATACAGTAATAATGGAGAAATGTTTAGTTGCAAAAATATGGCAAAGTTGGCAGAGAAGGCCATTAGTTTGGCTGATATTGAAAATATAAATTATTATGTAAAAACAGGGGGCTTATTTACAGAAGAGGTTATACTTGAACTCCTAAATGGGGCTGTGTTGTTGGTTCCGTATCCTTTTTAAGTAAAGTTTGTGCACAGCATGATCTATAAATGTGTAGTATTTTTTCTCAATAGATAGTAAAAAATAGTATTAAGTGTTTTTGATGATTTCTACATATTTATGTTACTATAGAAATACAACTGTGATTGCAAAAGTTATGAATGTATGTATATGTTTGTAACTCCTTCAAGTTAAAATGATAGGATGGATTTCAATGAAATTTAGTAAATAGAAATTTAGTTGTAAAATCTAAGTTTTAAGTCCTATTTTATTTCACTCTTATAAATAAATTAGATATTCATTCAATCTCATTTTAAATAAGTATTCACTTTTTAAGAAAAAGAAAAAAGATATAGAAATGATAGGTAAACATAACAAAAATGTTGTTTACCTACAATTTCTGACTATGATATAATATATCTGTGCTCAATAACTGTTGTTTTTTTGTCTCTAAATTATCTTATTCCTTAGTAAAAAATCAGGTATGATGCAGACTTCAATCATGCTCCCTGTTTAAGGCATGGCCATACAGCTCACTGGGCTCTGATCTGCGGCATAGTTGTAATTTCGGACCCTGGAAAAAATTATGTGGCTAACCCTAAAAATGTATATGTTTTATGTCGTCATGGGAAGTCAAGATTTCTTACTGCCTGGACACTTGAAGCATTAGATAAAAGTAATAAAAATTTATGGGAGTTTTCACCCAAGAAACAAGAGGATGGATTATTATATGTTCTTCCTGAAGGTGGGATAGGTGGGGAAAATGGCCTAAGAGATCAGTTTTTAATATTTAATGGTTTATAATTTATAAGTGTAATTGTTTTAGAATATATATTTATAAATTTTTTATGAATGTATGTATTTAAATTGGGAACCTAAACAATTTAAATCAGATTTTAAATAAGACAAACTGTTTTAATGCAAAATTTTATTTGTACAATAAATACAAATTATACTGCAAAATGTGATAAAATAATAAATCTCATGACTTTGCTTAAACACATTGATGTTAAACAACTTGTTAGACCAGAGTCCTGTAAATGAATAGTGTCCTCCCTTTTATTGCACCTTCACTATTTCAAAATGTATAAAATTGCTTTATAAATAACATAAAGTAACATAAATTTAATATACCTTTGTACTAATTAATTCAACTTAACAAAACTCCATTATGCGAAACTAAATAGTTCATTAGCCGTTTACTTCGGCAAAAAATATTTGTGATGAATATATTGATATACGATTACAAGTTGCATTGAATACCTTCTTATAACACATGTAATTAATCCATTCTTAGCATAAAGCCAAATAATTAGCAAAATTTTAATCGCCAAGTCAGTCAGCAGTTATGAGATCAAAATTATCTAAACAATATTTTTTCAAATATTAATAGCTGGCTTAACAGTTCGGTCCTAACTAAAGTTAAATTTTAACTCCAACTAAAATATGATGTATTAATTAAAAATAAAGTTACATATTCCTAATATTTTTAAAATACAATGTAGTATTGCTTTGAGTATATTTTTTATTATAAGAAAAAGAAAACTATAGAGTGGATATAAGAGAACTATATAATGGAACTTTGATGAGTAAAAACAAGCAAATAACTAAAACTCCTTGGTACAGTTAAGCAAACTACTGATATTTGATTTATATTTTATAATAGCTTATTATAAAAGTACACTATTTCTATTACACTGATTACAACGTAATGTTACACGGCTACTACGCGCGACGGTTGGCTTGGCCTCTAACAATATGGGAACTTGAGCTTTTTGTTATTTAATATGCCATTCTATATGAAATTGATGGCACGAATTTTAAAGACTTCTATACACAATACAAATGTACCTATGTTAAATAGGATTGATAATATTTTTTATTATATTATGTATCCAAAGCCCAAAATCATTATGCAGTATTTAAGAGCGTGAATGGAAGTCTTTATTTGTTTTGTCGCCCGTAGATAAAATTAAAGTAACAAAATAATTTTATCCCAATTTTCTTATTTGTTCCATTATGCGGTCATAACGTTTCCAAACAGCAATCGATTCCATGTATTTTAGAATAAATAAATAACATTGCATAAAAAAAATGTTAGAATCAAAATTGCATAATGGAATCTGCATAATATATTTAAAACATACATTCATGAACAAAACTTATAATTTTATAACACAGATACACATTTACTATGAAATACATAATATATACAAATGTTATATAGTTATACGAGCCACTTCAATTTGTGCCTAAATGTTGTTTGATTAAATGTAAGTTATATTTAAGATGGGTCACTTTAAAGTAGTAGCACAGATAAATGAAAATTAAAATATTGTCATATTAATTTGAACAGGAAACTCAATATTTTTGCACGCATCGACTAGACCAACGTTTTTTTTTAAATTAAATAAGCACACAAAAGTAATTTAATACACAAACAATATTATCTAAACTTCAGATAAAATAATCTGGGCAGATATCTAATTTTTTAATTAAAAATTGTCGCTCAGAAACTTACAGCAGAATCTGTCAATTTTTTAATAAAATATAAAAAAATATTGAGTACGGAATTTTAGTCTCTAAATCGATCTACGATATTTGTGCAATGTCTTGTAAAACATAAATTAATGACTTTCAATCGCACTCGGCCATTATAAATAACATTTAAAAAAAGAATATATGAGAAAAAAATGAGAAATATAAAAGAAAAATATGAGAAATACTCTCATTTTCGATCTATATCAAATCACTCTTAAAACTTCTATGTTTATAATGAAATTCACATTATGTAATATACTGTGAAATGTCGGTAAGATATTAAAACAATTTGTTACTGCGAAGCTAAATTGAGAGAAAATTTATTTACTGTATCATACAAATTAAAGTATTCAATAACTCACAGAAGATATTTTTTATCAGTAACCTTCTAAAATAGATTATTACGTTTTATATAATGTAATTTTTAACAAGAATTTCGTTAAATTGATAGAAACTGGACAAAATTTTCTCATATATATGAAAACATTGTATGCTATCGGCCAAACACGATTTCAGGCCAAACTCTAACCGTCGTGCAAAGTGTATCAGGATATACTTATTTTACCTTTTAGCTTTAGTTTAGCCCAGGACAATCTAGTTTGGCATCAAATTTAAAATAACATAGCACATATGATATTGGGGGTTCTGGGTTAGAAATAAAAAAAAACTGGTTTGGCCTACGACAAACCAGTTTGGCCTGAAATCTTCTTTGGCCGGTAACATACATAATTACACCAATAACTGTCTGCAGCGTACAACAAGCTAGAGTCCACTATTATTACGTCTACGCCCGTAATTTCGTCCGCGTTTACATAAAACAGTACAGCTTTAAATATCATATGCACACACACAAACATACAAACAGACATATACACTATATATATTAAATATTGACGACCCCTTTATATGTATATATGTATATCTTATTCTAACATTGACTTTCAAATACGCATCTAATCTATACTATTGTCCACAAAATCCATCTCCTTAATAACATTAGCTATTCGATAATGTAGTAAATTGAGTTCCAATTGATATAATTAATAAAAATTAAATATCGTACAGTATAAAATTAACGAAAAACTAACGTTGGAAGTGTTTTTAGCAAACGATTTAAATTTGGCACTCAGCGAAATGTGTCAAATTATAGTTGGAAGCATGCAGAATATAGACAGAGTCCAATCTCCATATGATTTCATATGAGAAATCCGTCTGCAAAATTTTTTAGAGCTATACTTCCAGGAACTGCCACGAGTCGCGCTGATTTACGTTACCAGGTGAATTTAGCTATAGATCAGTAGTGCGAAGTTAGTAATAAACAAATCAGTGTGTCTTTTTGTTGCTCTTATAAAGAAATAAATTATTTAATTATAAATTTGATTACATATATAGAAAAGAAGGTGAAATATTTGAATAAACCGGGAATTTCTCGCTCCCTCTTGGGACATAGCGACTGCAGCGCTCTCTACTCGCCCACAATTTTTTTTTTCAAATTTTTGGGACAACTTTTACGTACACAGATTCAGACTCCTTGTCTATATTCTTCATGGTCTGAAGAGAGCATTGAGCTCAACTGCGATGACTTCTGAACAAACCGTGGTCGATAAATATTTTATACACGTATTATTTATTTATATACAATTAATTTGCAATAATCTGTAATGAAATCCTTAAATTATGTTTATTTTTATTTTATTAGTTTTTGAATACATATTATATATTACTTAGCCACATAAACATCATCACCTCCCTGCCCATTTCCCAATCACTTGGGGTCGGCGCAGTACATCTTCTGTACTGCTGATAGGATTTGGCAAAATTTTTACGACCGGCCGCCTGCCTGACGTCAACCCTCCTTGTGTAACATTATTCATAAAGGAACTACGATTATGGAATTATTAATTAATCATTGCTGATATAAAATTAAAAAAAATCCTTTCAGATTACTACAAACTAATTGCATGTTATTCCGTTATCTTGAACTTTGGTAACGTCTCAAATCCATCAAGTGAATTACAAATAATTGCAATCCAAAAAAAACATTTAACGCACGAGTCAAACTCTGTTTTAGTCCTAATTTCGTTGCCGTGTATAATAACCCTAAAACCACAGATATACACTTAGCTCTAAACACATTAGATCGTATAAGAACATCTATGATATTGGAAAAATCGTTGAAAGTCAAGCCTCTTCATTTACCGCTATGCTAGCTCTGAAGCTGTTTGAAAATTTATACCACACGACACGATATCGACACGACTAAAGTATTTATCGCATGCGTGTCATGTAAACGCAGTGTAAAGAATTTAGTATTACAATTCGAATATAATACTTATAACTTCACAAGTTATTGGCAAAATGGATTAGCGTATACTATTTCAAACATTGATCGGAATTATCTTATTATATAAAAACGCTACCATATCAAAGCTATTGCTTCTAAGAAACGAATGCGCATATAAAAAATACAAAAAAAAATTAGCGACCATCGACAATCGCGTAAAATAAATCATTCACGAATCACAGACAAAATAAAATCGCGCTCCCTACCTGATATGTGCCGAAAACACCATAAGTTTTCCACAACTAACCTATGGAAATGTCACGAACCATAACTCCGATACAAATTGAGTACACATTATATATAATACGTTAAATATCTAATATTTTATTATAATAATAACTACTATGAAATGACTATAATGCGTTTTTGAGCCTTTATTATGCAACTTTAATAAGCAATTGCAGTAATCTCGACTCTATTACACATAGAGTACGATTCAAAGTTCCATAACAAAAGCTTTGCTAATGGCAGCTCGACTATTAAGTAACGCTACATTTATATTGAGTTGAATATTGGACATATGCGCAAAAATGACCTAAAACATCGATTAAACCATATCAAAATCTGTTCAGTACTTTTGAACTAAAATAAGCTTGCGTAATACTAATAGATTACATTAAAATTGATTGTCAATAAGTCTACGTACGATCCGACATGAGTGCCAACCTTTACACTTTAACATTCCGATAGCAGATTAAAAATGAATGATATCTAATCATTCATTCATTTACATTCACCAAAGCCAAATTTGCGCAAACGACCTAAAAAGCCTCTTCCCATCGACTACGTGACCTAGAATACATTAGGACTGACACGATAATCTGAACTATGTTCAGACATGAACTCGGCATAAACTGATCAGCCGACATCAATCTACCTCTCAAAATTTGCAAACACGACGCCAACTAAAACTTTAGCGCTCCAATACAATAATTTAATAACAACCTAGTCATTGGTTTCTTTGAATATCATTAACATTTTGTTGCAATTGCCATCTCAACACTTAGCTACCAACAAAGCATTCTGAACTCTTATTCTGATTATTGACCTCATTACTAGTTCAATGAGGAGCATATACTTGGCTCGAGCACTGAATGATTATTGACCTAGTTATTGGTTCAATATATAGCTATGCCATGCTCGATAAGCACTGAATGATTATTGACCTCGATATTACTTCAATGAGAAGCATACGCTTAGCTCGAGATCTGAACGACCTCGTTATTATCAATATATAGCATATGCTTGGCTTGACGTGGGTCCGTCGTAGGAGCCCTGTCAATATATAGCGTATGCTGTACTACGTGGGCGAGTCCGCGGCAGGAGGCCTAGGTCTCAGGCGGCGCGAGGGGCGCCCCGCAGGTGGCCACGGGGAAGGTCTTGATGTGCGTCTGCCACTGCGTCGACAGCTGGAAGAACTTTACGCCGTTCCATTCTGTGCCGTCGATGTACACTGCAAATGGAACGAATGTTTGATTTAGAAAGGACTGTTATATTTATATATAAAATTTGTTACATCAAATTAATTTTTTAATTATTTCTACTAAAACTTAAATTTCTGCCCTTACGCAATATATTTTTACTTAGTTATTTTTGCTATAAAATAATCCATAAAATCAATGTTGAAAATTGCTGGAAAATTTAAAATTAATAACAAACTCAAATCGAATAATTCTTTTTTAAAGTCAAAGTCATGGATCAAAAGAGGAATAATTCTCTATATTCCTAAAGTCATGAAATATAACCAATTGACTGACAAACTAAAGTCTAGAAAGTAAAATTATACATAAAAAAATATATCTTCTTTCTATAATATAAAAATGAATAGCGGAATGTGTTGGTAAGCGCAAATCTCGAGAGCAGCTGAACCGATTTCTAAAAACAACACTTTTCTATACTCCCAATCAATCGTAATAATACTTAAAAGTCAATTTGAACTTTAATACCATACCATAAAGTTTAAGTGTTAGTGGAGAGGTTCCGGGAAGGTAAAACAATTGAGTGAAGTTAGTATCGTATAAATATTAATGTCCATATTTGATAATATTTAGACGATGCTAACAATTCTCAAAAACAAATCTATACAGATAAATTAAATTGAAGTGTCTGTTTGAAATGTCAAAATAACAGTTTTTTACTAAAGGCATATACATATATATGGATGTATACAAGATACTTATACCAAAACAAATTTTTTTACGATTTTTGTCTGTCGGTCTGTTTGTTCCGGCTAACCTCTGAAATGGCTAAGCCGATTTTGACGGGACTTTCACTGGCAGATAGCTGATGTAATAAGGAGTAACTTAAGCTACTTTTATTTTAGAAAAAAAAAGGGTCCCCACGAAAATAATTTAAAACCGAAAATCTAATAATATCCGATTCAAATAGGGAAGTATACATATCCTAGAGACGAATCCGAGCGAAGCGAGGGTGAGTCGCTAAGTATATAATACATTTTCCTTCAACATACTAGATCAATGAAATACAATACTTTTCTTAGATTTACGCGAATATTTAACACTGTGAATACAACTCTTTATTAGATATTTTCGTAGATTTTTGGGTTCCAACGTTTCGAATGCATTACTGCACCGACTGTGGCGGTCCGAAATGGTAGTTTTATTTTATAAAAAAAAACAATAATTCACCTTTGAGCGGCGCGTTGTGCGACTTGGCCGAGCAAATGAGCCTGGCGACGCCCTCGACGGTCTGCGCTCGGCCCGGCTCCGCCTCGCCTGGCTTTTCCTTCTTCTTGCCCAGTCTCATTACTGCGACAATCGTCACATATTGAAAACATATCCATTATGAAATATTTGCTAAACAATTTGACTATAAAGTTCTTAATTTTCTAGACGGCAAGTTTTTTTTTTGAAAAAAATAAAAATAAAACACAATAGTTAGGAAATATGGTTTTGTAGCGACCCAAAATCTTTAGAAGTTTCAGAAGCTTAATCTTATTTAATATAGCAATCAAAACTGTTAAAGGAAATAAAAAAATCTTGAAGCACTCAGCAGCTACATTAATTGAAAATTGGACTAAACGGACGATTGGATAGTACCAAAGAAGTATACAATAATTTGAGTGTATTTATTATTTCTCCACGATATAATGACTGCGTAACAATTAAGATGGATATCATCATCTCCACCTAACTTACAGCCCGTTTTCGTCCACAGCTGGACATAAACCTTTCCCGTGGCGCATCACTGAGCTCAACATTCAGCTTCACATACCCAACCATACACAACCGGCTCAAAAAGAAATAAATCAAATTAAATCAAGTATATTACTTATTCAAATAGACTTTTACAAGCAATTTAGAATCGTCAATTTTTCATTTTAAATTTAAATTAAATGTGAGTGTAGTCTACTACCGGCTCGGATAGATATGATTTAAATATAAATCCAGCTACATACTCTTCTGCTTCTTCTCCTTGGTGAGGTACGTGATGCAGAGGTGGTGGTTGTGCCGCGTGACGAGCAGCGCGCGGAAGTAGCCCTTGAGCGTGACCTTGCCGCCGCCCTCCGCGCCGCCCGCGCCGCCCTCCGCCCAGCGCGCGCCCACCTGTGCCCGCACACGGCAACACTACATTGTTACACTATATCTACACATCCATACTTAATATTATAAATGTGAAAGTGTGTTTGTTTATTTGTTTGTTTGTCCTTCTTTCACGCGAAAACAAAGAGACGGATTGACGTGATTTTTTTGTGTGGAGTTCGAGGGCTCGAGAGTGACATAGGCTACTATTTACCGCGGGAGATTATTTAATTGCCACAATAAAACACTTTATAATACAATCCAAACAAATATTTATGATCATATTTACTTGAATCTTGGTATTAATGCTCTTCAATGAAATGAAATAAATACATATTTTACCATTTCTCGAAATTCAACCTATATGGGGGTAAAAGGATGAAAGTTTGTATGAAACTAATCTTTTTAGACATTTTTTTATAGTTTTAGTGCGAGCAAAGCCGCGGATCCTGCTAGTGTATAATAAAATTGTATACATAGTACATACATATAATAAAATTCTGAGTCGAATCTGTACATTAAATATTTTTTTGAATCTTATTGAAATAGTTATTACTTTCGATATAGAGGCATCTACAGTTTTCAGAACTTTTGTCTATTTGTCTGTCTATCTGTGACCGCATCATGAAACAACAGGAGGAATTTTAATGAATAAATTTTGATTATATAAAATTATTTAGACTATATATAAAAATTACACGTGAACCTGTAGCTCCTGGTGCCTGGTCTTTGATCGAATGCACACGTGTTTGTAAAAACTAAGTGGCTGAAATTAACCTGGAGGACATTATTATATATGTAAAAGAGATAAAATATTTTGTTTGCGCGACTCAATCCCATGTAAATTATTAAACGGATGTTTACGAAACGGATAGATTATTTCATGAAACTGATAAGTGTAGTATCAGATGTGAGAAGTGCAGTGTCAGATGTGAGAGGTTTAGTCCGACCAATCTCCTTTCGTGTCTTCTCCATTCTACGTGACACTGGCGAAGTGATCTATGCTCAACTGGCACACTTTGAAGCCAATAACAAGAAAATTGAATTGAATTGGGAGGTTTAGTGTCGGGTACGAGAAGTGTAAAGTGTCAAGTGTGAGAGGTGTAAAGTGTCAAGTGTCGGGTGCGCACCAGCCAGTAGTCGAGCTGCAGCTCGAGCGGGTCGCGCGGCGCGTCGGGCGCGGGCGTGGCGGGCGGCGAGCCCTCCTCCAGCTCCAGCGACGCGGGCCCGCCCTCGCACCCCACGCGCACCTCCTGCACACACCGATATTGTTGATCATTACACACTTTACATGTGTTTCATATACGTATTCTTTGAAATTACGTTAATCCCTTAACGACCGCGGACACGTCGGTGTTACAGTTAACAATAGATTTCTTAGAAAATTAATTAATTTCTTAGAAATTTAGATGATTTTATTTCATTTATGTAGCACACTTAAACATTTATAAAGTTAAGAAAAAACCAGAACAATTAGTCCGCAGTTGGTAGAGGTACAACATAATGTAACACAAAAAAAATTATCATAGTTGATATATTTTTTAAGTAACTACGTTAAAATCTTAACAAAACAATAGATTTTCTTCAGAACATTTTTATATAAGAAAAAAAATTTAAACCTAAATCATTTGCAATTACAATTAAGAGCAATAGATAAACGTATAAAGAAAGCGATACCTGTTTGTTAAACGACTTTTTTAGGGTAACAATAATAAAATTAAAACCTAAATCTTTTCAAAACATATTTTCAACAATTATAATAATATAAAGTTTACCGCAATGAAGGGCACGAAGGTCTGACTGGAGTCCTCGTCGCCGGAGCGCTCGCGGTACGCCACCATCGCCTCGCCGATCGGGATGTTGTTCACGGGCCCGATGCTGTTCAAGTACCTGGCAAATGATATTATAGTTATTTCGTATTTATGTAAGTTATGGGCAACCGAAACCATAATAATTATATTTATATGTGTGAATTACCATATTTACAAATGAGCGTTATTGATAGAATATAAAAGGGAATTTACGCCATTGATGAGAAACTAAGGGGGCTGTCAAGCATTTTAGAATATTTTATAAGTAAATAGACTTATAAGTGGCACTATTAAAACTTAAAGCCATCTTACGCCTGATTTTTTAAATCAGGTTGATGCCATCCCAGAGGAGTATAAGAGTGAAAGGGATAGCTAGTACACGTATTATTACAGTATAAGAAGTATAGAACATATTTGCGGCCACTTAGTTTTATTGTTTAGAATGCTATTATCAGTGACATTAGTTGTACCCATAAATTCTTTCTGTCTGTCTGAAAGACAGACGGAGTTACTTTGGCATGTATAACATTAGTATGTGTGGATGAATGCGCCCACCTCGCCATCCTGGAGGACATCTCGGCAACGTCGTGCGCGGGCGCGGGCGCGGTGGCGTCGGCGGCGCGCTCGCACAGCGCGGCCCACGCCTCGCCGCAGAACAGTGCCGCGTACGCGCTGTCCGCCGCGCCCAGCCACCGCGAGATCGTGTTCGCACCTGCCCGTACACACATATGTCACAATCAGACATTCATTACATTTGCGTACACTTTCACTCGGATGCATCTCTAGGTACGCGAATTTTGTTCACAATAACATGGGTTTTAAAAAACAAATGACATGAAATGAGGAAAAAAACCATACTAACATGAATATATTAAATTAATCAGGCAAAAGTTTATTTACTGCTAAATATAGCTTTAATTGTCTTCGAATAAAATTACCATGACATACAGAGCAACAGTCATTATGAAACTATAAAAATTCCGTTAACAAATAATAATATCCATAGTGAACAGTGAACCCACCGACAGGTATGATGTAGAAGCGCAGCTGCGGCGCGTCGTGGCGGCGCGCGAGCTCGGCATGCGCGCGCAGCGCCGCCGCCGAAGCCGCGTCGCCACCGCACACGCACACGCGGATCGTGCGCCTCGCGTTCCTACGGGGCAACGGGTTATTGGACATTACACTTCAATATAATACATTTAAAACCAAATCATAAAAAATAACACAGAGAACAATCAAGTTTCCACAATTAAATCATTCATAGAGTAAAACTTTGTATATGCTACCGTGTTTATTATAATATAACATGCTTTATAATAGTTTCAGGGTATAAAGAAGGAAATGTTTATACAACAGTATATTTTAATTTGACTTTCTCCAATAAGAAGCTAGAATTATATATTCTAGTAGTACACTTTTTTGCGCCGTATTATTTTCTAGTATTAAGATGCTTTAAGGCAGTGGTAACGCGATCGCTTGGGAAACCGAGTGAAGCGGGTTCAAATCCTGGGTCTCGCACCTCTGACATTTTCATGTGCGAATCATTTCTAACATGATTACCACTTGGCTTACGGTGAAGGAAAACATCGTGAGGAAACCTGCATGTCTGAGAGAACTTAACAAGTTTTCGAAAGACATGTGAAGTTCGCCAACCCGCACTTGGTCAGCGTGGTGGACTATGGCCTGATTCCCCTCATACTGAAGGGAGGCCCATGCCCAGCAGTGGGACGATAAAAAGGGCTGAATACATTAAGATGCCTTTGTATTTCTCTTATAAGTAAAGGAAGGGTATCGATCGATAAGGCCATATTTACGCCCCACAATGACGTCAAAAAAATTATGTCATTCGGTTTGATCTATTCTAAAAGTAGATTGTGTAAGTGATGAAACCTGATAGAAAATATATTTATGAGAGAAAAAAACTACAATGAATACCTGTGAGACGCTAAGCTGAGGTTTTCGTTCAAAATGACACTTTCAGTAACATTTCAACTTTTTTTTAAATAGAGCGCATATAATTAGCGCTTTCTTTTTTATTTTAATGTCCTTATGTTACTACACAATATATTAAAAAAAATACAGTCCTTCCATCATGGAAGGGTCCTTTATTATTTTATAGAAATGAATATTTAAACTCACTGCTTGGCGGCGCGCGCGAGCAGCGCGTGCACGAGCGCGCGCGCGTCACCGCCCGGCGCCAGCACGGTGGGCACGCCCAGCGCCGCTAGTGCGCGCGCCAGCGCCGCCGGCGCCGCCGCCACGCACTCCGGCACCGGGCCCTCCTCGCCCAGCACCATCGATACCTGCTCCAGGATCGTGCGCCGGGGCTGGGGATATCACATGTCGACGTTAACACTATTTATTCCCTTTTTATGGAAAAAAGGGAAAACGCTACAACACGGTGGCAGGGTCCTCCTAAATATTTTCAGTCACGGCGGCCAAACTCACTGAGACTGGCTAAATGCACAGGAGATATTATAATGCAGGTAGAAGTGCACTCTCTATTCCTGTCACTCTCATACTCAGATAAAACAACAATTTGAAACAACCAATGAGAAATCAGACGCTGTCACAGTATCTTGAGGTTAAACACCGCCAACTTCTCATAAACTCGTACAAGCAGTTACAGAGACTTTCTTAAAAGAAATACTCAATAAATAAACTTCGTTCGACCCGGGACTCGAACTCAGGATTTCTGGATTTGCTGCCGTACAAGCGAGCCACTAGAATCTAGATCACAGAGGCAATAAATACATTATGGCACACGGCTATCGTCGCTAATAAACTAGCTGCAATATAAAAAGATTTATAAGAAGATTTGCGGATACGTTGTCGACCTTTAAAGAACCTAAAAAATCTTTTATCTCCAAAGCATCACAAACTTCATTAACTTCTGGGAGAAAATAATTACATTACAAAATAAGTGATATTCCTGAAAACAGTATAATTAATCAATTAAATTAATAATTAATCAATGAAAAAGTCAATTACCTCAATAGCAGTGGGGCTTTGCGCGGGCAGTTCGTGCGCGGACAGCGGCCGCTCCGTGCAGACGACGAGCGAGTTCTTCTTGCGCGCCGCCGCGGCCGGCGTCAGGTTGCCGCCGCTGGTCGCGCTACGGAACAATCTAGACCTTTTGTCTTCCTACAAAATGTTGAATTTTCATTAATATCCTTCCACTAAATATTTATACAGGTTCAATACAAAAAACGAAGACAATATTATTTCCGCTATGGGCACATTATAAGAAGTGAAATTACTCATGCTGAAAATTGTTAAAAGTTCTATACAGAGGCGTTATCTATTTTTAAATAAAAAAGTTCGCAGTTAAATTTTGAATCACGTTTGCTTCTCAGAAGAAAAGAAGCCTCATAACACATTTTTTCTTAAGTCCGGTTAAATATTCCTAAAAGACAAAATCAACATCCTGATCAATTAAACTTATTTTAACTGTTAATAAATGTAAGAACAGCATATTCTGTCATGATGAACGGTATAGAGCAATTACGTGGCAAGTTAAAATTATACCTGTCAACCCTAAAATCATCTCCCGATTGTCATATAAAATTACGTACGACAGTCGGGAGCAACTCACCCGCGTGTCAGCTCGCGCATCTAATAGAATTATTCATAATATTATTTATTTATTTATTTTATATAAAGCGACAATACATAGGGTTAAATTATAATTATAATATAGACATTTGTACAAAACCGTCAAATATAAAGTTGACTGCTGTCTTCTAAACTAAGCGAGAGCCTACATTTTAGGTGACAAACAGACGTTCCGCTTTCACAAATCAATTTACATATAATTCAACCATTTACATATAATTAATATAATTCTATCTGTACGCCTTCTGTGCTTTTAATCAGATTTTAGTACAATTTCCTGTAAAATAAAAGAATATCATTGTCCCCAAACTATAAATACCTTAGTATCGTTAGGCGGAGAGCTTGACACAGACGCCCCCGACACCGGGGCGTCGAGTGTAGCGTCGCCATCGCTATTGCCTTCGCTACCGCGCTCGTCGCCCGCAGAGCTGCGTACAGCTTCTGACTCTATTTCAATAACACCAACATGACATAATACAATATACTTATAATTACAACAAATTTTTAATTCTGATAAAGAAAATATATAAAGTACCTATATGTAAGAAATCAATATAGATAAACAAAACAGTAAAAATTTAAAATAAATGCAATAGATAGGTTGTAAAATAGTAACAGATTATAGCAATAGATACGAATAATAGTTTATAATATTTACTTAGTTTTTATTCGCAAAGCTGAAGTATGCGTTGTCTAAATGTACAAATAAAAGATAGCTAAGAAATGAAAAAGAAAATTAACGGACAGACAGAAGCTTGCTAGTTATACTTAAAATATAATAGAGGATGTTGTGTTGTAATTTGAATGTTTAAAATTTGATTGTCCTTGACCTTATGCAACAGGTGGCAAAGTGAGCTATTTAGTGAAATCTTTGTTGACGACGACACGTTGGGCTCAGTTTGTAGTGACCCTACTTGCTGTGCCAATTGTCGCGGGTTCAAGTCCCGCTGGGGGCATTCATTTGTGTAATAAGAATGGTTGTACTCCAGTCATAGTTTATATTTATTTATAATATGTACATAATACATACGTACTTAAAGTTATATATGTGTAGTGTATCAACTACTTATCTGGTAACCATAACACACAAGCCACGTAGCTTACCATGGAAGTAGATGATGATGTGTGTTAATGTCGCAATATATTTATTATTTATTTGTCTACACTCTCATTCAGCACTTTTTAATAAATACGTGTTGGCTGACTTTTACGAATAAGAAGTTTGTATTGAAAGAAGAATTGATGGTATTTTATAAGGAGTTAAGAATAATTGCAGTCAATCTATAAACCGACATCGAGAAGAGTCTAAAAAGCCTTTAAAAGTCTACGTTTTATGTGACTATTGCATAAGATCTGTTATAGAGTTATGTAGCAGCAAGTAGGTATATTATTCCTACGATATTGATAGATTGATAGATATGAAACAAATGCAAGTAATATACGATAGAGCCATTAGAATAATTAAGTTGAAGAAATTAATCCACTATTAGCGACAGAGAATAATGTTCGAACTTCATCTGCACTATAATTGCTAATAAAAAAACTCAAAATAAACTCCAAAACTCAAAGTAGTACACAACAGACACAGAACTTAATAGTTTATTATATCAGTTCTAATTAACTTACAAAAAGAACGTGAGCATTTTGATTCATGGTTATTAACTGAATTCTCTACCTCTAATAGTTTTAGAATATTCCATACTAACTCTATAAAATATAGATAAATAGAAGTTGGAGATTAATAATATAAATAATGTAATATATAATAGTGTATAATGAATAACAGAATAGTGTATAATATATAGAACTAATGTCATAAATCCAAAAGTGTTTAATAGTGTCTTTGATGCTTTGTCAAGTTATAATTACTCAATGGATTTGTGTGAAATTCGGAATACAAGTAGCTTATATCGAATCATTTAATCTAATCTAACCGATTATGCGAGCGGAAATATTTCTATATAATATATATTATAGTGATTCCAATAGCATAACGTATAGTGATTCCAATAGCATAACCTGTAAGAGGCATGGGCGAGTTTCCTAACTCCTTACCTACCTAACCTACTATCCGACCGTAAACATTTAGTATAAAATGATATACAAATATCATAAAGTGTATTGTATAATAGTGTATAACATAATAGTGTATAGTGAGGCGTATAGCCCAAGCGTGTACCTGTGAGAGGCACGGACGGGTGCCGGTCGCGCGGGCGCAGCTCGGCGGCGGACGCGAGGCTGGCGTGCCGCGTCACTGCGCATGCGGGCGTTAATATAGCGGGGCAGGCGGGTGCAAGTAGTTTAATGTTTGAATTAAATTATCAAAAACGTATGAATATTTTTTAACCCATGATGTAGGAGGGTTTAATTTAGGTTTTTATGTCTGTATGTCTGATTGTTTTTGAGGCTTCTGAGCTGATTTTATTGTTTTTTGATTTAAAAGATTTTTGGTTACAATTAATGAAATTCCGTCCATTTAAAATAATTGACATCAAAATTTGACCGACATGAAATGCACTATATAAATAGTAGATATTAAATTTTTTAAGGATTAGATAATGTATATTTTTTTTTAATTTTGAAGAATTTAAATACGTAGTAAGTACACCGCCTGTCCCGCACATGCACTACCACTATGCACACAGCGTTACAAAACAAAATACAAACACACAGAATGTCCATCGATCAAGATATGCCATACAAAATGTTGTGTCACCTAATTAAAATGATAAAATTTATTCGTATGAATCACGCCTATTTTACAAAGCTAATTATCACATGCTTTATTCATTATATTCTTTAAAAGATGTTCAAATGAGCGCTCATTGGCGATGACATTTTTTGTTATTGATTGTGCATCTAGTACTTTTTGATCGATGATTATCATTATCTTTATTAAATATATGTATATCATCTTCAGCTCTTTAGAGATGAAAAAAGGTCAGACTTTGACTTAAAATAGTTCAAATTTATAAAAAAAACTCGATTGTTTTTGACTCAACATCTTACAAGTCGGGTAAATTGATCGACGACAACATCGTGCCTATGGCGTCTAATTCCTCACTAAGCAAAACAAAACAAGCCACACAATGCACTGTCCCTAGGGCATTGCGCACTGAGTTTTATTATATATTATATATACGCCTCACGTTTTGCGCTTCACTATTTTATACAAATTACATAAGAACTTTACATTATAAAAAAATATTCAAACTTTTATAATCACCTAAAACGAACCAATAAATTATCATTTATATAGAAAAAACTAAAATTAATAAATATTTTATACTGTAAGAGATCGCAAGTTCTATCCCGCGCAGTACAATTAATTTATCTTATATGACAAAAAAATGAAAGCATTTAAAAACAAATACAAAAACAAATATTACACATTATTATACTCGTAATTTAAATAAATCACATAGAAACCTATACTACAATTTACCGTTTGAATGCCGATGGTGTTCCTGGTTGGCGAGACTCCTGGAGCTGCTGAAGAAGGGTCTTAATGAAGGTTTGGGGGTGGACCCAATGCTTATAGTGTCCATCTGGTCAGGACCTGAATCCTCACCTTCACCACATGATAATGACTCCAATTCCTGAGAATAATGGGATGGAATTAAAAGAAGTCTCTTCCAGTCAACCCATGTATGTGGGAAATAGTGTTAAGTAGCGGGACAGAAAGAGAAAGTGCAAAGAAAAGAAAAGAAAATAAATTATTTTAGTGAAACTCTTAATTTTAAACTTTTCAGTAGGTGACGCTTCCAAAGAGACGACACGACAAAGAAAAGAAAGTAAATGTTTTTTCACGCAGGCGAGGCCGCAGCCAGGAATAGTTCCATAAATATTATAAATGCAAAAGTTTGGATGGATGGATATTTGTTATTCAATCACGCCAGAACAGCTAAACGGATCTGCATGAAATTTCACACAGAGATAGATTATAGTCTGGAATAGCACACAGGTAATTTTTTATCCCGGAAAAATGTACAGTTCCTGTGGAATATCCATACTAACCGTTAAAATGTACCTAGGGACGAACCCGAGTGAAGCTTGGGTGAGTCGCTAGTATGCAATAAATGTAAGTCACACTTATCACACTATCTAAAGTATGTGAGTGGGTTATTGCTGCACACCGTAACGGCTGAACGAATTTGTACTAAATTTTCTATAAAGACAGCTATATAACTAGATTAAACTATAGACTACTTTAAACTCCACTTTAGTACTTGTATTCATCCCTTCTTTTTAACGTCTCACAGTTGAGCACGGGTCTCCCTTCAATGCGAGGGGGATCAGCCCATAGTCCACAAATTCTTATTTAATTAAGTGGTCAAACCTAATGAAATATAATATTCACCTGAAACAGTTCATCGATATCGCGTTGAGCGTTGTGCGTATCCCTCGCGGCGCCCCTCTCCGCCATATCCTCGGGCACTCGAAACCGCCGCAACAGAGCTGCGAACTTCTGTTTTAAATTGCGTTGCTGTGGGAAAAAATAACTAAATTATACAACAAAGTTAGACAGGTATTACTTTTAATGTGCACTTAGTGAATTTAAAATATCAGGATTATTTTGGTAGTGAAATTAAATACATATTGTTACATTAATATTGTATGTAAATTATTATATTTTCATATATTTTTTTATTATGTAATATCAAGACGTGTGTATTTATCCAATAGATAAATATGCGTCAGATAAAATGTACATTTGTATACAAATGCACCTGTTATTTAGCGATCAAAACTGATTTCAACGTTAAATTATGTTAATACAATTATTAACACATTTAGATATTTAAATTTTAATATATCCAATAATTAAAAAATATATATAATAAAACGACCTACCTATCTCAAATTTAAAGGGACAAAATAGAAAAAAAAACTATTTTATATCATATTTTTGACAAGTTTAACAGCCATTAAACAAAAACAATTAAATTGACTTTACATGCATATTTTCAATAAAAAAATTTCGAGGACATATTAAATAATACCTTATTTAATAAAGTATCAAAGATACGACACACAAAAATATATTTGCACAGGAAAATAGTATTAGTAGTTAGCAGTAGACGTACAAAAAACATAATGGTAGTAAAATAGTGTTAAGAAAAAAACACTTTACACAATTATACACCTCCATTGTAAAGTGAAGCCACCAACATACACTACATTACGTCTCACCCACCACTGTGTACAAGATAAACTAATCCGCGAAAGTTCCCACTACTCATATCAACACAAATATATTATATCTCGCTGTTACTGATGTGCCTTAACTCTTTTACATAAAACTCAATTTGGCTTGCTTTTTATCTGATGATTTATGAAGACTCGTGCGCCCAAACTGACGTTATCTTAAGAATTATTCACGTTGTGTAATAAATATTCACAAAATAGTTCATCTATAGTCTATACTAATATTATAAAGGGGATAGATTTTTTTCTTTGTTTGTTAGTTTGTTTGTACCGAATAGGCTCCGAAACTATTGAACCAATTTTGATGAAATGGAGTTTGCCCATTTCGTTGGGTGGTGTGCTATGCGGGTTGCTCCTGGTACTTCTCTGATAGCAGAGTGGACCTTGAAGCAACCCTATGGTTGTTATGGTCTGCTTCGGTAGCCTGCCGTCGGGGCGTCGTGGTTGAGTGCGTAAGCGATCCTGCGAAGCTCCATTAAGACGGGGGAGTTTTCGTTGGGTTTTAGTGGGTAGTACTGGCTTTGCCGGTGAGTCCCACGCCTCGTGCCTAAATGCATTTCCCAACGTTAAAAAAAGCCTGTAAGTTTGATGTACAATGTAATACTTTATCAATATATTATAGTTTGGTTATATGTCACATAGTATGTTGCGTTGACTTGCCTAATAAATATCTAGTCATGCATACATGCAGGTATAGTTTAAAAAACAAATTGCCTTTCAAATTTGATCACGCTCGCCACAACAACAATGTTCCCTCTACTCAATATGTATTATAATTTATAATTCAATTATCGTCGTCAAAACGTATTAAGCTGAATTCTTTATTATATTGTATTCCATGTTTTATATTTCATTTAATTTAATTATTAATTAATGTCAGATTAATAAATCTGACTTCTTCACTGTAGTTTTCATTGTTATCTTGCTTCTGTCAGGAAATCTTTTAAAAAATGTTTTAAGTAAAAAAAAAACACTTGAAAACCGTTAGACAGCAATATTATACATATAAATTAATGTAATCTTCTAAAACAAGGCTATTCTAATAAGCACTAAGTACACAAACTCTAGCTTCTAGACTCAACACAGACTAAGCAAACAACGTAACACTAAGAAACAAACTAAGAACACTCAAGCAAAATACGACTTTATGATAATAGATACGAGACTGTTAAACTATTAAGAAAATTCAAAAACAAATAGACATTTAAAAAAAATATATTGAAAATTCATACATGCTAATATGCTACAAATTATTTACATGTAGAATATATAATACATATTATTCAAGATATCCGAAAATTCTAGAATAATTTTAATTAAAATTCAAGACAAAATCTTTCTCGTACTACAAACTTTTTCGAAAACGACATAATTAAAAAAAGTTTACCTTTGTCAAATTATACAATTTAAAAAAAACGAAGTACCCAAATAATTCTAAACATACAAACAAAACTCGTATCTATTGCCACATATGTAAGGTACAATCACCGCTAGCTTGCCGCGGCTGCCCTTGCGCTTAGCGGAGTGCTCCAGCTCGCTATCGCTGTCCTGCGCCTTCGCCCGAATGTAACTTTGTATCTTTCTCTCCCTCTCCATGAAGCTGAGCTCGTGCTCGTGCGAGCGTGACAGCTGTACATTGTACAATTGTGTGGGCTAAGCTTTATTTGTATTGCGTTCATTCAATTATGTATAATATGTATGGATATTTAGACCAAAAAAATCTAAAAATAAACTCCAGTCACAGTTTTTTTTAATATTTCAGTGATAAGAAATGTTGAAAAAAATATTTATGATAATAGAATATCATAATAATAATAATAATAATTACTTAATATAAAATAAAATATCCATTTTTATAGAAAAAAATTGAATGAACGTTCTTAAAAGATAAATGAAAAGCGTTGAATCTTTATTAAACAGTTTAAAAACTTACAGTTCTGCTGAAGTTGAATTAATTTAATGAATGTTACATAAATAAAAATCAAAAAATAAGCATATTTTTAAAATATATTCATATTTTAATTAAATCGTACGTAAATATGTATTTATTATCTTTATAGATACTATAAGCTTTCAACCTGTTTCGAAGCACTGGTTCGTTCACTCCATGCATAAAGCATTGTAAAGCGTGTGTTTAGATTAAAAGATGAAGAATATTGTAAACATTTTTATATATAAAAGCGCTTTTGGTTTAATATTTAATTTATGTGTATTAAAATAGGCCAAATCTATAGTTTTAAGAATTTTTGTCTGTCTCTCTCTGTATGTTTGTCTTTCTGTCTGTAACCGCATCACGAGAAAACCATTAGACAGATTTTGATGAAATTTGGTATGATAATATCTGGTTATCCGAATCAATATATAGGATACTCTTTTCTACGGCAAAATGTCTCATCTGTGAGAAATTTACACTCTTTAAACGTAACTAGAGGCGAACCCAAACGGAGCGAGGATGAGTCGCTAGTTATACATATCATACTAGCGGACCCAACAGACGTTGTCCTGTCTACACGTCTTTAATTTGAAAATTTCAAACTTTTTTTAATAATTTTTTTGATGAAAATTATTATTCAAATTGTGAATCTAAACCATTCCCAGATCCCCTTGAACACACACAAAAAATTTCATCAAAATCGGTCCAGTCGTTTGAGAGAAGTTCAGTGACATACACACTCACAGAAGAATTATATATATAAAGATGTATTATTTTTTAGGTGCTAGTTTAGAAATTAAGAAAAAAATATATAGCTTAATATTAGCTCTAAGAGCCTAGCAAAATATGAATACAAGACACTCTTAATATTGATGACATGAAATCGTTGAGCGAAAACGTATTAATTTAATTAGGCATATTTTTAATGAACGAAAAGACAAACAAGACAAGAAAAAAGACAAAATAACAAACATATTTTCGTTTCTTATATAATATTTTTATAATATATTATACCTATAACTTTTATATGTATATTTATTATACTCTATTGAGTTAAAAGGTGTAGATATAAAATATGATTCATTACGCACTCCACACTATTGTTTATTTATCGATATTACGAACAATAAATTTTGAAAGTTTATGACAAAAATATATCCGTACTTGATAAGATTAAATATTCTTAGAAATATACATACATAGTATAAAGCTACATTAGTCAGGATATAGATTTGATGGCAAAATAATTTCATTTCCTGCCAATAAATACGAAAGTAAAGCTAGCACAGATAGTAATATAAAATTAATTATGATTATTATTATTTACTAGCGACTCACCCTCGCTTCGCTCGGGTTCATCCCTAGGTACATTTTAACGGTTAATATGAAATACAAATCTTTGAATTTCTCAGCTTTTCTGTACTACAATATACATGTATTATACATATAAACCTTTATCTTGAATCACTCTATCTATTGCAGAAAACTACATTAAAATCCGTTGAGTAGCTAAAAAGATCTAAACGAACAGAGAGCGGAAGTGACTTCATTTTATCTTCTTACAATATCACAGGACAATATTAAGTATATTATAATTTCACTAAACACATTCAGTGATATTGTAATTACACTAGTTAAATTGTCAATAGTAGCAAAACTTGAATGTGGTGGGAAGCCTCGATAAGTTTGATTGGTCGATCGGACATTTTTAAACCTAAAAACGTAAACATTCACGGTTTTTACAATTTACCTGCGACATTAATAATATATAATTAATAAGTTCATATTCTGCAATGGGACCCAAGAATTCTTTTGGCTAAGTATGGGAGGAGTACTTTATATGTTGTGTTCTCAATCACGGCTTCTTTTTTTTATTATTTCCTAATTATTGTGTTTAATTGAACATTCCAATTATGATGGCGGAACATGTCTTGCTCATTAAAAACTATCTAAAATACGCATTCGCTCAACATAAGTGTAAAATGTATCATAAACAAAGCTCTAATCTTAATGTTTCTATGGTAAAAGTAACTCACGACTAATTAACAACATAATTTCAAATAAAACTATTCTTTCCGATTCGGATTGAGATTCTCCCGTGATCGAACTGGTACGTATGCTTTAAAGCGTTCGAAAGGCCAAGACCCAAAAATCTATATAAAACTGCGAAGAATTCCGGGAAAATAGTTTTAATTGTCAAATAATATGGGCGAAAATCTAAGAAAGTATTAAAATAATTTAATCTAATTTACCTTGGTATAAGACAGATCTCCTTTGTTGAAGGCGAGCTGCCGCGTCCGTCGGCGCGCGGCCGCTCCATACGTCATTTCGTCTGCTTCTTCAACGGAACTGAACTCCCCCTCTTCCTCCTCATCTGAGTAACCACGTTCTGGAATTTAAGGAAATTCGTTTAAAACGTGGGCATTTTTACAAAGTACGTACCTTTTGAAAAAGCTAAAATGTCTTTAGGGTTCTATAATAAAAGGGTCCTATTGGAACCTCATTTCCAAATCTGATCATAATGCATAGCACATTTTAAACAGCTGATGATTTATATTAGCATATTATTTATTATAAATGCAAAAGTTTGTATGTGTGTTTATTTGTTACTCTTTCAAAGCTGATACGGCTGGTAGATTTGAATAAAATGAAATAGACTGTAATCTAGGAATGCGTCCGAGTATAGCGAGAGTAAATCGCAAGTTATGTACATATAAAAAAGTTAAATTTACAATATCAAAAAATAAGCTTCTCTAAGCTTTTATTTTTAACCCCCGACGCAAAAACGTCTGTGACATCGTAGCTCCCGAACGGACAAACCGATTTTGATTTTGCTTTTGTTTGAAAGATGAATTAGTCGGAAGTTTTCTTAGCTATGTTTGATGAAAATCGGTCCATCCTAAAATAATAATTAATCCCTCGATATCTTCGTCACTCTGTATTAAGAAAATTATCCTAACAATTTAAAGGGCCTCTGTGTTCTTGTCTTTGATGCCAGACAAATACATTTTAATCAACAAAACTATCGCGTATTTGCTTTAAGTGTTAATCGGCGTTAGATAACTATAACAAGCCGTCGAACTGGCGTTTAGTATCATTTAATTTGACCAATAATATGAAATTAGTCGTGGCCTCTTTAATCATTTTTATACATTGTACAACAGATAATAATTCAAGCATTTTAACGTCTTGTGCTAAGTACTAAATCCTCTTCTTAAAAAAGGGCATCTCTCGATATGGGAAGAATTAGGTCATATTGAATCATGCTGGTCACGAAAGGCGAAACTAATACTTAAAGACTAAATAGATACTCTTAGACATACTAGTCTCCTCACAATGTTTTCCTTCACCGCACATAAAAATCTTAGGTTCGAGGCTCCGTGTATAAACCCACTTAACTTTTGCCAGTGGGTTACCAGTTGACTACCACTGATATTAGCGCCTTGTCAGCGTTAGTGTATGTATGTAACCTTTCTAATATGTCATGTAAATTAAAATTGACGATCTGCAGCGTCAACTTTGGTAGGCAAATACAAAAGTCGCGGTGACCAACCACTACTATACCAGGACAAACGTTCAATTAATACAAGTATCAACCCCACGAATCGAACCTGCGACATATCATACCAAAATGAAGTACAATAGAAAAATAATAATATATAATATTTTAACCAGTAATAAGAAGAGTATTGTTGTTCTTCGTGTCGTGGTCAACAGGAGTGGACGCGAGGCCGGTGATGGTGAGCCTGGCGACGGGCTGTCCCGCGCCGGCACCCACCTTCCCTCCCACGCTCGTCAGCTCGAGCTCCATGTCCATCGAACGCTGTAGGACCTGACAATAAATATATTTATTGTACTACTATTGTATGTGTATATACGTATTTGTTACAGTTTAACGTACTTCCATTCTCTATAGTCTGTATAAATCAAATTGAAATATTACTGAAAATGACTAAATTTGAACCCAGTTAGACCAAAATTTTGCGTCTCACAAGTAGTATTCATTGTAGTTTTTTTCTCCCATAAATAAAATTTCTTATCAGAGACACAGTCTACTTTCAGAATATGCTAATAAAGGATCAAATCGTATGACCTAATTGTTTTCATTATTCTGGAGCGGAAATTAGGCCTTATCACTTCCTTTAGATGAAATTAGGTACACAAATTATGATCTGGAGTAATACATATTAGGTACTGTGTTATACATCTAGGGACGCACCCAAGTGGAACGAGGGTAAGCCGCTAGTAAATAATACACATTTTATAGACAACGTTAAAACAGATATTGCCCTCGCTCTTAAGCTCATAAACTTAAAAAGTCTTCTTTTATTACGAAAATCTTCATTTTCTTCTGATATACTTACACTAAAAACTTTATTTATACAGTCTTGAAAGTAATTAAATTAACTTGAAGTTTCTTTACTTAATATCGAATACACGAAAATTATAACGAATTTTCGAGACGAAATTTCTAATTATATTTAACTTTATTCAAATAGTAGTCAGGACAAATTAGAAGCTTCAACGCAAATACTTTCGACGAATAAATCGTAAGCAGTACCGCCCGCGATTGAAATTCCTAGATAAATGAACGCGACCACTGAATACTTAATGTTTGGAGATTTAGACTTATATTTTATTTTAATTATTTATTATACAAAACATTTTTATTGTTGGTTTTATAAAAAAATATGAGAATCACAGGGTATTTCATAAATAACGAAACATCTCATTAAAAAGTAGGTATGGTGAGTTATTTCTTTTTCAGCGAATATTATCTACTAGCGATTCACCCTCGTTCCGCTCGAGTTCGTCCCTAGATGCGTTTTAACGATTAGAATAATTCTCTCAGAGATGAGATATTTTCCCGCAGTAAAAAGTATCCTATATGTTGACCTGGAAGACCAGCCCATACCCAATTTCACCAAAATCCTTCCAGTAATTTTTCTGTGATACGGTCACAGACAGATTGACAGACAGACAAAAATTCTAAAAACTATAGATACGGCCTCTGTATCGATAATAATGTCTATTTTAAAAAGATTTTCCAAAAAATTTAATGTAACAGTTTACAGTAGTAACAATTTTATTATTTATATGATGTATAGAGTATTATGAATTTAAATTATAAACAATTTACGTTTTTATGTTTTACGTTTCGTGAAATAGGTCTTAACTTATTTCAAATTGTATCTGGGATAAGCCGCTTAGTCAACTTTTGTGTTTCTCATTAAATTTAATGAATGAGTTTTCAAGCAAGTTCTCTAGTTTGTTGTCCGAAAACATAATTGTTTTACCATCTTCTTGGTAATCTTTTTGGTACAAAATAAACAAGTAAACAACTGAGTCTGTAAACCTACATACGTAAATATCTAGTCTAAATATGGGCTTTACAAGCTTGGTTTTACATATAAAAGCAAAATACTAGGTACTCACTCACTGACTGATTAATTAAAATATGTCAATATGTGTGTGTTTTATTATATTGCTCACACAAAATGCCATAAGGTGAGAACCAAGTATATTCAGCTGTTTTTAAGCGCATTCATCAGCTTTTTTACAAAACTTCATCAAAATCAGCCCAATCAAATCAATAAACTTTACAAAATTCGTTAAAATGCCCTACATATTCTTAGTAAACATCTACGCTTTATAATAAACAGGCTCAATATAATAAAAGTTTACATATTTAAGATCCTTTTGTAAATATTGCCTGGAATAAATGATTAAATTAAATTAAAAAAAAAGTTTTATTCAACACAGACCGACTTCCATCACTTGCGTGATTCACTAATTATTCTAAACTTGGGTGTATACTGTATACTATATGTGGACTGCTTTAATTAAACGTTTTAATAGAATAGCATAAAATATAAATATTCAAAGTCCCATCAAATTAATTACAGAATGTTAAATAAGCTAACGAGGTACATAATTACATGACAAAGTTAATATAAAATTTCGCAGTAAAATTTCCATTTATTTAACCGCCAATTAACTAACAGTGTCGCCTTTTTATGGTCCACATATTGCATAACGCTAGTTGTTTACTGAAGGACAGTGGGTCACTAAGTTGGGAAAATTTTCTCCTTAAATTTCTATTATTATATTTCATGTGTGTAGTAAATGTATAAATGAATCGCCGACGATCGTTATGTTTTGTGAAAAGAAATAACCCTGATTTTTAGTTCCAGTCGTTTCGATTGCTCTACGGTTTACAGCAAACATAGATACGGGAGAGACTAAGGTTTTTGACGTCTCAAAAGTTATAGTTATAACAAAAGGGTGTCTACTCACAAAAATATACAATTCAAAAGAAAAGTAAAGATAAAACCGCGATAAAATTCCGAACAAAATCTATATATGTACATATAATAAAATTGTAACTAAGTCGAATCTGTACATTAAAGATTTTTTGGAAAATCTTATTGAAATAGTAATTATTATCGAATCTACAGTTTTTAGAATTTTTGACTGTCTGTCTGTCTGGGAACGCATCACGAGAAAACCATTGGACAGATTTTGATGAAATTTGTTATGATGTTAGCTGGTTACCCGAGTCAACATATATGATACTTTTTACCGTGGTGAAATATCTCATCCCTGAGAAATCTATACAAAACGTTATATAAAATGTAAAATGTAAATCATAAGAAAGTACAAAGAAATAATCCGTTAGAAATAAAACATCGAAATATTCTTCAACAAATTCGATTATCTCATCTGATATAACTGATCGATATGAACTATATCATAAAATATATAGCAAAAAAAAATCCAAAGGACATCTCATATATTACAATTTGGCGACCTCGCTCCAGGCAACAGCTGTAAGGCAACAAAATTGCCCATTTACTTGCAAGACGTGTAGGATGTTAAAAGTATTTTACCAGAGCAATCTTCCACTTGGTCATAACAATTTAGAATTCATAATAGACACTTCAGGATCTAAATTAGATTCAAAACAAAATAACAACTACTTATATAAAAATGATTTTCAAGTTTCAACTCATTACTTACTTGGTCCATGCGGATAACTCCTTCAGCTAAAGTTTTGTATCCCAAGATAGTGCGATTCTTATACTTCTTGCGTCTTTGCAACATGATTTGTAATCTGTAAACAATATTTAAAAAAACTATCATTTTTGATATAATAAATTAAATTTAACACAAAAACCTCACAATCTAAATTAAGAACTGAACAACGCCCGATTTCTGACTGATATGTTACTTTTAGATGTAGCTTTCTAGATAAAAACATTATTCAGTAGACTTATTGAATTACAAACAAACAAATCTTTACAATATTAGAGTAGATATAGTCAATATATTTGAATATAAGATAAGAAACAACACGTGGGCTATTTTAGATTGAATATTATTCATGAGAGCAGGATCACGGACGCGCTAGGTCATACATAGCATATACAGATCGTAGGATAAGAAACAGCTACGTATTTCAAACACTCATATTTCGCAATAAAACAACGATAAAACGAAACTAGAAAATATGTCGGAAATGCTTTGTACATCAGATAGACCAGCCAGTTGTAAATTGTTTTTAGTTTACATGCTATTTATTCGTTTGAATCGTTAATTTTGGAGGTCACATATATTAAATGTATATTATAAGTTTTATGAAATTACTCAAGGACAGGAAATATTGTACAGTGTTATAATTTATAATACACGACGACACGTTTGGCTCAGTTTGTAGTGACCCTATTTGCTGTGCCAGTGGTCGCGGGATCGAGCCCCGCTGGGGGCATTCATTTATGTGATGAGAACGAATGTTTGTCCTCCAGTCATGGGTATTTATATGTATAATATATATGTATTTAAAGTTATAAATGTGTAGTGTATCAAATATCTGATATCCATAACACAAGCCCCGTAGCTTACCATGGAACTGGATGGTACTGTGTTCTAATGTCCCAACAACATATAGGAGAAGTAGAGCAGGTGACTTGTTTTTTTTAAATTTAATAAATGTCGTTGAATGAGATTAAGGAGCTATAGTGGTGTTAAGGCTACTTCATTCTATTCAGCCTACACACAAAAGGCTTGAAAATATCCATTTTAATAACAACGATGTTAACTTAGATAAATCCTATTTTTAATACTCAGCTTAAGTCGAAATCCTATCACGTTGAAGTTCTAAGCCGCTTACGAAATCATCTTTTCCCAATGATTACAGCAGACATAACAATAACGCTCTATATTTTCATACATTTTAAAAACCCATATAAGATATCTAAGAACGAAATAGAATGTAATGTAAGTTTTATTGCCTACAAGCTTTTATTTGCGAGATATACACGACACACGACATGCTTTGTGAAAACCAATAAATTCAACATAAAATTTATAAACTATAACGTATTTTATTCGCTTTAGTAAATTTTTTACAAAAACGTTTATTAAAATGAAATGTAATTGTAAAAAAATAGGTCTACCCACAATATATGTACTCGTATGTCACCTAGTAACGTTGTGTTACACATATATGTACATATACTAATAAATAGGAGTTTGTTATTGAATAATGGTAAAAACGCGTAGGGCGATGGCATACCAACGTGCGTAAACCTTTTTAAAAAATTGTCATGATAATTTTGATCCATCGTATACCAAAACCTTAAAAGGATAGTATTGCGATAAGGATAAGAACATAACCGAAATGGCAATTTATAACATCTAATGATGGTGATTACATTTCCCAAGCGTCTCTTTTCGAAACAAACAAGTGCAGTCAACATAAGTACCTACCTAAAAAAGTTTACAGTATAACTGTATTAACTGTATTATCTATGGATACATTACCGTTATGCCTTAGCATTATCAAAAAAAAGAATTAAATTGTACATTTCTTTATACTGTTAATTTAAGAAAATATTTTGGTCGGAGATACTCGTAGTTTTGCTACTTGCCAATAAAGAACCTGCTCAATACGTCAAAGATTACATTTAGATTCTATAAAACCCATCAATCACTACCATAACCCTTTTTTCGTTTCCTGCCATAACTTATTGTAGAGAGCTTTATTTATGATGATCTTCAATAAAAATCGGCTATAATAAATTCAAAACAGTAATAAAATGTTAGATTCGCCTATATTTTTTATGGTCGGAAACCCCATTAGTCCCGACCTCGACCTTAGAATATCATTGCGCAGTTAATATTTGAACCAGAATAGATTTTAGTACATTTAGTCGTAAATTAAACAAACTGCCTTAAATAATGAGAAACAACTGAATTTATATATATTTTTAAGGCTTCAGCCAATTGATCGATAAGCTTTTAAGCTTACAATAAGTACCAAACTTTTACTCTAGACCGAGTTTAGCAATTTAGTTATTTATAAACTAAAATTTTTATAATGTATAAACATATATATATATATATATATATATATATATATATATATATATATAAGATATAGTTAAACATATCTCTAAAAGTACCTACCTACGAGCTATGAAATTTAATTGAGGGGGTCTCAAATTATTCCAGTTTAAAACCCTAGGTTATGTATCGTAACCAAATATAAACTATGCAGAAAGCGTATTTTAAAATATGGTATTTTTATAAATTTCATTAAAGTTAATTGATATAATCCGTACTAATATTATAAATGTGTGTCTTTGTTTATTTGTCCTTCTTTCACGTCAAAACTGAGTGGCGGATAGGTGTGATTTTTTGTGTGGAGATAGTTGGGAGGGCTGGAGAGTTACTAAGGCTACTTTTATCCCGGGAGATTATCTCTTTCCTACGGGAAAATACGATATTATACAACCCCAAAAAATATTTATGATCAGAATTATTTGAAACTTTGTAATAATGCTCTTCAATACAATTAAATAAACACGTGTTTTAGCATTTTTCGAAATTCATTAAGGAGTAAAATATGGGATGAAAGTTTGTATGAAACTTACTTTTTTAGAGATTTTTTGTAATTTTAGCGCGAGTGAAGCCGCGGGTTCTACTAGTAATATATAGAAAAGAAACCATCTTTACCTATTCCCATCTCGTTTCACGAAATGTGGATACTGCAGAGAGAAGCACAGATCTAGCTCTACGTCCATTGGTGGTACGGTGATATCGTTCGAGCGCAATGTGCGTTTGCTACTGTGCATGCGAGCGGCAAGGGTGACCGCGCCTGCGCCCGCGCCGCCGGCTGCGCCCCCGCCCGCTTCGCCCAGCGCGCCGCACACCCGCAGTCGGGTAACACGCAGCGTGCATAACCTGGAAACAAAGCATTGCTTAAATATAATATCACCTAAACTCTCTCTCTCTCTTCCAATTGACGTCCCATTAAAATCGGTTCTAGAGATAAGGTGCACAAACAACCCTACACGACGACAATGTCAGCGCTTTGGTTTTTTTTTATAGTTATGACTTTAAGCTCAGCAAAAAATTCTACAAAATTGTCATAACAAGTAACATCTTCGGTTCAAATAATAAATATAAATATGTAGGGACATTAACAGACAGAACCATCTAGTTCCATGGTAAGCTACGAGGCTTGTACTATGGATACAAGATAGTTGACACACTACACATATATAACTTTAAATACGTACTATCAATATAAATACCTAATGATATGCTCTTGCTTCACTCAGGCGCGTGTTAAAGTAACTTGTTACAACTGACCAATATTCCATGAAAACAACGTATTATTTATGAGGTATCGAGATTAAAAATAAATTGTATTGGTTAGCCCAGAATATCATTAACAGATAGTCAAGTAGCAAGTTTATTATCCAAATCTGTTCTACGATTTCCATTCTCAACTTCTGTTGGTACTTATAGTATTAGTGATATTCGTATGATATATGTATGTTGATATTCGTTGATATTCGTGTGATATATATCTCTTCGTTTTCCCATCCTTTGCAGTTTTATACGATGTTAAATATAGTAGGTACTAGGTACATAAGATTTTCCAATCTTTCGCAAAATCTTGTCATACAACACGTAGGAGGTAGAACATGGGACTCCTATGCAAAGTTAAAATGAAAATTTGTCATGCGCAGTGCAAAATGTTATCGAATTCGTGCAGGTTCTCCATATATCTGACAGTAGAGTTCGTGATATTGCATTTTTTACGTGGATTACGTTAGTTTTTCGAATATAACACGAATATTTCAAAATCTTTATTTGTCATCTTTCAGTATAAGTCAAAATTACATTTTTTTTATAGAATAACATAAAACACGACCAGAACCTAGGGTTTCATCATGTAAAATATCATTTGTTACACAGTCGAATAAAACAATTTGTGCCAAACTAAGCATCACTGACGTTAATTTCATCATTTTGCAAAGACGTCAGCAGATGGGCTTTATGTGGATTTATTAAAAGCTCAGCGAAGCGACGTCCCTTTTTTCTTGAAAATGTTACGACGAACTTACAAAGTTCGCAACAGCTGCTTTTAATCACTCACGTTTCCACGATATTTACTTCGTCCTTTAAATATAACTTCCACGGCGTTAGAATGCTTTAAGTACGGATAGTTATTATACTTCATGTACCTATACATAATAAAAATATACTTCAGTTTATTTTTGCAAAATTATAATTATAGGATTTAACTTTTTTTGATTGTGATTTTCTTTCTTTAAATCAACCTTGAATGTATTTTATGCATTATGTTTTTTTTTAAATTTGTGTCTTACTGGTAGCTACAACATCTATATCTATACTAAAATACTAATATTATAAATGTGAAAGTTTGTGAGTATGGATGTTTGTTACTATTTCTCGCCAGAACGGCGGAACAGGTCTGGATGAAATTTGGCACAGAGATAGACTATAGTCTGGAATAACACATAGGCTATTTTTTATCCCGGAAAAATGTACCGGTTCCCGAGGGATACATTTTTTTTGTTTTCTTAGAGGTGAACCCGAGCGAAGCAAAGGTGCGACGCTAGTAAGATAATATACAGCAATAAAAAAGCTGCAAGAAAAGCAGGGATTAATAATAAAATGCTCTTTTACCCCTGAATTTCTAGTCATATTTCGATATAATACAGGATGTACTATGTTCACCCTCAATGTTATATAAAATCCATCGTGCCAAATAGATATACAAGAAAACTTCAAAAACAAAATCTTTCTTCTGTCACAATTGGGTAAAAAGACTAAACAAATAATGTAATTAAGTATAAAGTTAAAAAAGCCCTTTAATGCCTCTACACATTACCCAGCTTTAATGACCAGTAGGGTAAATAGAGCCCGCGCCAACAGAGTACAGTCACGAGCAAAAATATATGGCCATAAACAGTTTGGCAATAATAACTGATTGTAAGATTCATTTTTTAATATTTATTCTCACGCTGTCAACTAAAATGTTAAACGCCAGACATGTCATACATACTCGTATATACCTCTTAATATCAGATATTTTTGTAGTGACATTGTATATTTTTGCATGAAAATAATTATTAATAAATGCATGATTAGCAATTAGATATTTCTATAAAAGTATCTTTACGGATCATGGTCACGGGAGAAACCCTGAAATAAGATATTATTGCCGAACTTTGGTCATCCATCCCATCCATAGTTACCTATATATTTTTGCTCGTGACTGTACACTTTCCAGCGCAAGATATTTTAAATTGGTACACAAGTTTACCGCCACATTTTCCTGCCATATAATTGTGTCAAGTCTACTATCAACTACTGTACCCCAGTTTTAATGAGGCTGGCGTCAAAGAGAAAGCTGGTTAGTTTTAAGTTAAAGGAGCTGTGGAGGTGAAATACGTCGCTTGTTAGCTCGTGATGCTAAATTACATTACGTGTATAGAAAGAGTTTTCTTAAGAAACAAATTATTGCGTCTATATCAGAATAGGTGACTTACCACATGAATAATATTGAATTAATCGTATGTTATATTTCAAAAATAAACACTCAAAGTAATAAATCTCAAATTATGACTGATATTACTATTGATATTAGAGAGCTAATCCCTATACTAAAAATTAAAAATATTTTATTGTTGACTTTCAATACATTTTCATACAAGGTAGAGTTTAAGTTTACTTACGTTATAAGGTACCCGAATAGAAATAACACGTAAGTAAATCGCAGGTTGCAGCTAGCTAGTGTGTCATATTGTACATCATTTTGTTTTATTACATTAAAATTGCACTACTTGAGGCGCGAAATGGGTACATCCCAGCAACCCAGCTAAAACCATACATAAAACATTTGAGCTCCTAAATGTAAAAGTTACGCGGTATAGAAAAAACCTTTTCCCTTTTGGTAGTATTGTACCAAAATAATTGAACATTGTATACAAATGCACATTTTACAGGTCTCTATTAGGTAATTGATTTTCATCGATTTTACCTGAAACTTATTACATAAAAACTCATAAAATTTAACGTTGCGTACAAACGTTACAAACAAATTGATACCTACGCTTAAATATATATATATATATATATATATATATATATATATATATATATATATATATAAGTAGGAACTAGGATAGGAGAAGTACCTATGAATTACGACATTATTTAAAACGATTAAAAGCTAATATTCAAGCTCTTTGCAATTTCTTGTATAACTCAATCAATTAACACTATTTAACAGAAACAGAGCATCTCACAGCCTGTAGCGAACGAGATTACGGTACGATACAGGCCATAATTTGCTTTCACGCCTCGGATATCCTTTGAGATCATCTTAGCAATAATTATAAGGCGAGATAGAAAAATAATTTAAAGTAAATTGGTTAAAGTTCGAGATCGTTCTGATGGCGTTATAAAAAAATGAAATGAAATGAAATTCCACACAGTAAATACTTTTAAAAATTTCTAGAGGCCTATTATTAACTCTTATTACGATTCAATACACGATCTAAATTAAATTGTTTCGGCATTTCGTACCAGTTATCTGCGACGTGCCTAAGCAAAATCTACAGTGTGCCCCTGAATTGAGTGAATTCCTTACATAAAAGTATACCTACTTTAATGTTCACCATTTTCATCTTTTTCTTCTAAAATCCAGATCCAAGTTATGCACTCACCAACGAATAACATTTCAATTTTATGTATATAGATTTGACCACTAGTATATAGCGTGGGTGATCAAAATGCTTTTATTTATTTAGATACTTCATATTTCGTTTTATGTAAGGCCATCTTGTTTACCTATATATGTAATTTTTGTGACCTCTTCACGCTGTAATGGTTAAAAGAATTTGAGTAAAATTCGGAAGGAAGATAGCTTATGACCTGAATTGACACATAAGTCATTTTACCACGGGTGGGGAACGATCCCGCTTATAAAGACCTGTACCCAAATAATAAAAGTAACATTTAATCACATACCGTATTACGAGTATGTGTGTTCGTATATTACCTATACCCATACCTATACCCATCATTATATTACCTATACCCATCACTTCCTGTGGGTGTCGCAGACGACGACTAAAGCATCTAGTGACATCGCACCTTGAGTCCCTTGTTTGATAGCGGGCGAACAACAGCATTCGCAAAGAAGGTTGACGTAAGGCAGGCGATCGGTCGGAAAACTTTTGCCAAGACCAATTAGCCCTAGGTACGGACGTATGGCACCGACCCCAAGTAATTTGGGAAATCGGCAGGGAGGTGATGATGATGATGATAATGTACCTAATAGTATCCTACAAAATGTAAAAACTTCACGACATAAATGTTGTGAAGTATATGTACACATACATATTTTAAGGAACATATTTTCATTAAAAAATATGAGCTGGAAATAAATCATCCCCTAATAATACCAAATGGGCTGAAACATGTTTCAGTACATAGCTTAATGAAAAAAGTCTCAAAGTTACAGATGAGCGCAAAACTTACAAAACTAGGTCGAGCAAAAAAGGATTTCAAACAGAAAATAAACGCCGCCCAAGTAAAAGGCTGTTTATTTCTCATGCCATCGGTCCCTAATCAATCAATGTCGATGTTGTTCAATTCATTGATTTGCCCACAGTTTAATGGTAGTATTGGTATATATATGCTTATTGTAAAATAAAACTTACAGTTTCTCATGAGCATTAGAAGTTGGTTGGTAGATAGATAGATAGATAGATAGATAGATGCTTTAGTAGTTTGGTAGTTTTTAAAACGGCATTTCATATTCCTACTAATTTTCAGCGTTTTATAACACGACTGCCTCAGAAGGAGGGTAATGGTTTAGGAATTTATTTCTATATAATGGCATGCAGGCTTTATATCTAACAATAACTACATACATATATATAAAAATCAATTGACATTCGTTAGTCTCGCTAAAACCCAAAAACGACTGGACCGGCTTGAATAATTCTTTTTTTTGTTTTGTTGTAGTGCCCGGCAATCCAACCGGGCGCGAAGCTAAGAAACGCACAGGGAGGTTGCCCACTTCGGTGGGCGGTGGGAGGTGGCCCTCTTCGGGGGGCGGTGTACCATGCGGGTTGCTCCTGGTACTTCTCTGATATAGCAGAGTGGACTGTGGAGCAACCCCATGGTTGTGGTGGTCTGCTTCGGCAGACCTACCGTCGGGGCGTCGTAGTCGAATGCGTAAGCGATCCTGCGACGCCCCATTAAGACGGGGGAAGGTTTTGTTGGGTTTTAGTGGGTAGTACTGGCTGTATTACGTTGGTGAGTCCCACACGTCGTGCGTAAATGCATTTCCCAACGTTAAAAAAAAAAAAAAAAAAGGTGTGTCAGGGGTGTGGTTTAAGTATAAAAAAAATAGGGAAAAGAACTGCTGGTACTGTAGATTTTGTATGAGAACCACTACTTCGGATTACTTTCAAACAATGACGTTAGTGGCGGTCCTATCATCTACAATAATGGGTCAAGATTAAGTTAAGTCAAGTCAAGTCTAATATATAATCTATCTATTCCATACTAATTATTAAAATGTAACGTAATAAATCCGGTACCGTAAATTCATTTTAGTTATGAAAGTGAAATTCTTTTGTGCAGCCTGTCTTTTTTATAATTTATGATTTTACATATAATCCTTAAATATTTTTTTACTCTTTACTATAGTAACTCCTTAATATAGTAACTTAAATTAAAATACCTTAAATATTGGCATTACGAATTCAGTAACACCGAAGCCTGATTATTTTCATTTGCTCTTCAGTCAATTAAAGTCTTTATATGCATTATTGAAGAAAAAATAATTATTATTTTTTAACATTATAAGTTTACAAAAAACATTTGCAATAAAAAGTTCCTCTACTTAAATAAATCTGCGACCCGACCCTTAATTTGAAGTCTCCTGACGAACGAAAAACAAGCGCGGATGTTTTCGCCGGTCGTAGAATAATGAGAGGCCCCCGGGACGCGCGCTGCATTATGATTTACATGAAAATATCTTTCATCAAAATATATAAAATGTGGACAAATTTATTCCAAAGCTTGAGTTGCCACGTCTGCGTAACATAAAACTTTTATGTCCATTTAAAAGTTATTATTAAATATCCATAAGTAATAGCATGTACTAAATTTACAGCTTGAATTTATATAATGGAATATTATTATGTATACTAGCAGAACCCGTGGCTATACCCGCGTTCAATCTACTAAAAAAAACTCTTTGGCTTTATGTTATACAGCGACTCAAACTCGCTTCGCTCGGGTTGGTCACTATGTATTTAAGTAAGTAATATTGTTCATACAAAAATACTATATTCGCGATTAAAAATGGGGGGTGGGGGTAGGAGGGTGAAAAATACTTTACGACCTATTCTCATACCTACCAAATACACGAAAAAAAATATCATTAAAATCGGTCGAGCCATTTCGGAGGAGTGCGACCACAAACATCGTGACACGAGATATTTGTATGTTGATTTTATTTCACTACTTAAAAAAAGTAAAAATATATAACAACTTTTTTTTCATTTTGTGGCGAAATGAAAAGTGTAGTACACATCAAACACGTCTCACATCGAAAATGTCAATATGGCGCTTTGAGAAGTCACTCACGACTTTTACTTAGATTTAAAGAATTTTCTTTGATATTCTCAAATCAAATGTCGGGAAATATGTTGTTCCAAAACATATGTTACAAGAATAAAATCTGCAATAGGTTCGTTTAAATAATATGAACTAAATTTCAAATATTAGTTGAATACATTATTCGGATAAAATAGATTTTTTTTCAGTTTTCAGTTAAAGTTTTGTCGGAGACTCGCCACTAAAGGTGACGATAAAATGCAAAAATGCGACGAGAATGTTAAAAGATTGAAAAAGTACCCACCAGTTAACCTGCACGGTTCAAAGTCATATAAGTTCGGCGAAACCAGACGTTACTCGCCTTTCCATTTTCCCGGTCAGGTAAATAATAATTTTTTAAAACTTTTATTAACAAAAAAAAGTATCCATATAGATACCTCGAAAGCAATATATGTATACATAATCGAGGGTTTATTGCGAGAACCAGCTAAGTGCAGTCAAATTAGTTTTGAGTTACTCCATTTTAAAAGTTTAGACCAAATAAAAATGCCATAATTTTAGTGAGCCTTAAATACTGTAATAGTCACAAGTTAGGATATAAAATAAAGATTTTATTTTTGTGTAGTCTAAGTAAATATGTGTCATAGAAGTGTATGAAAAAGGGAAACTCATGAGTGAGGTAGTGCAATTAGTTAATGATATTTTAGCAATCGAGTATTGAACGATTTGTTGTATATAACAGTTCTTACTTTGTTATATCTTCCAAAGTATTTAACGTAGCACTTAGCCGGTTATACCAGTATAGAGTTCGAAAAGATAAGAATTTTCATTCATTTAACTCATTTTTACCAAAAATGAAATTTAGCAGGTTTTATCAGTAATCCCTCAATATAACACAAACCATAATAATATAGATTTTACAAGTTTTGGCCCGCGGCTCTGTTCACGTAGACTTATATATATATAAAAGTACAATACAAACATGTCGTTCATTCAAAAACGATGAGGCGTTTCTTTACTCATAAACTTTGGCATTTATGATGTTTATATAACTACAAATATATTGAATCTAACTATAAAAAACTATAAAGCATCATACAAACTTTGCTCTCTAAATGTATAGAGCAAAGTAGCATATCTATACTTATTATAAAAATAAGTCCCCCGGCCGCGTCTTTCTGTCCTCCTGTCTGTCCTCCTGTCTGTCTGTACGCGATAAACTCGAAAACTACTGAACGGATTTTTATACGGTTTTCAACAATAGAAAGAGTAATTCTTGAGGAAGGTTTAGGTATATAATTTATTATGCTTTTATGTAAATTAGCTGAAATACGGCGACAAATGTTGAAGAGGTCGCAAAAAATCTCGCCAAATGGGAACTTTCCACGCGAACGCCGCGTAAACTAGCAAAGATACAGTTAAGTAATGTACTAGAGAATTCAAAATCTATAAAAATGCTACAAAAAAGTCCGCGATAGCATATCTCTATCTCTTACGGTTGACTTACAATAACCACTTTTATGTTAACATTTTTAATTAAAAACATTACGTTATTTTCAAAGTTATTTTCTTTAGTTCGGTATTAATCCTTATCCAAATGAATATTTTAGTTAGCTTAGTCATTTAATGCAGATTAAAATTGCTCTTTACACTAAATCAATCAGATGAATAGTTTTTGAGATATCGTTGTTAGAAGTAATTAGTAGCGAAACATTTTTAATGCTTGGCGAGCATTGAGATGCCTACGGCGAGTCCATCCCCTCTGCCCCGCATCGCTCGACCGCCTGCTCAAGCTATATAAACCGGGCGATGTAGCGCGCGATCCTAGGATACTTTTTACCGCGGGAAAATATCTTATTTCTGAGGAAAAATACAAAAACTGCAATGTAAGAGTATACTAATATGTAACACCTAAGAATTTAGTTTTTGGTCATCTGAACGCGGGCGGAGCCGCGGGCAATGCTAGTACATCATAATTATATCTCGTACATAAGCTAGCAGCCACGAAGGCTTGTTATATACATTTCGTACAAATATTTTTATTTCAATGATTTGTAAGGTCTTTATAGACCAAGCGAATATTTATTCAAGAGATAATAAAAGAAGAATGAAGTGCAAGAGTCGGCGGAGCTCGGAATTAAAGCGTGCTATAGTTTAAGGAAACGCTTGTGTTCGAGCTCTACTGGATAAGCCCGATTTCGCGTATGCAGATGGATTGTTCGAATAGAAAATGCTTTTGCAAAGTTTGAAAAGGGATCAGCGACTCTGTCTAAAATTGTAGATATTATAATTTATACGAGTAAAAGCGTTTGAGAGAAAAGATATTGGAGCATTTGAATTGAATGTACTCGTTCGTTTATATTTTTATGTTGTGTTTATAAATTCGTAAAAATCAAATTTCAGATATTTATAGTTTTATTGAGAATTAAATCACAGAATATGAATTCAAATGTTTGTAGGTATTTTATTACATTAATCGACTGTAAATGTTTATAGATAACGAAAGTCCCGCTGAGTTTCCTTCGCCAGTTCTTCTCAGGTCTGAGTCTTCTTTCTGAACTGGTAGTAGACTCATGACGTTCAGTAAAAAACTGTAATAATTTTATGCAGAATAAAATAATTTGAATTTGAAAAGGAAATCACAATTGTCATAAGTTATTACACAGATTCGACTTAAAAAATTGTACTAGGTGGGTACTATCGTCGCGTTGCTTACTTCAGTCCTAATTTAAATTTACTTAGATTTGGAAAAATTCTGGCAATAGAGTAGTTTCCCTTCTAAAGGCAAAATAATATTTAAGACTTAAACACACAATTTATTTGTACTAGTGATAGCTCCGTGATAAATCAACATAAATTCATTCAACGTTACTAAGGTTATTTTGTCAAGTAAATAAATTTTATCCTTCTGCAGTCCTTTTCGTTATAAACTTTAGCTATACCAAAGCTCTACTTCTCCGTACGGGCAATACGGGGTACAAAGATTTCTCTTCACGTATACAGTTATAATGATGGCGAAAAAAATCACTTACTAAAAAGTTTAATATTCACTCATTAGAATAAAATCGGTCACAATAAATACCGGTTCGAGAGATGTGGATAATCCCAACAACGGGTATAGTAATCCCGGCTCAGCGAGGCGGAAACGCGGATAATTAAGCTGCACTCGGATCTAGACTACGTACCCTTCTAAAACAGAAAGGTCTTCTGACAGCTATAGTTGGATTGGAAAAATGCAGATTAAAACGATGCATAGATTCATTCTCTATTTTGTTTTTAGTGAGAATACAATAAAATTAAAATGCTGATATATATTTTAAATGGTCAAAGTAATCAATATTAATATTATTTCAATGTTAAAGCCACTTGAACATAAATAATAATAATAATTAATTCAAATTACTTGTCCTAAATTAGAGGACTAATATTTTGACAGCCTCAATGTTACAGTGCGAAGTTTTCGTGGAAAAGAATATTTTTTGCTGTTTAAATAAAACAGCCAAACAATTCCTAGGGAGGCTGTTAGTCCTATATACTTTTCTAAAAAACCAAATTGGTATATTATTATTCAATTTTTAGAGCATCGTATCGTGGTATCACTCGAAATAAAACGGTTTTCAAGAAAACTTACATATCGTTAACATTCCAGTTTTAAAGGAAGTCACACTCACAAAACATAAAAGTAACTTCACTGAAGCGTTTAAGTCTTTAGTGGACTTGTTACAGTAAAGTTGGTAACAATCTCTAGTTTCTTAGAAAAGGTAAGCAAAAGTTCTTAACAAAATATAAAAGGAGTACTACACTTGGATACAATGGACATGAAAAAGAATGTTATACTGGAACTAGGAATTCAAGAAGTATTTCATTTGAAAAATATCTATACATATAATAAAATTTGAACTCGTTGACTCTGTATATTAAATATATTTTGGAAAATCTTATTGAAATAGTCATTATTATCGATACAGAGGCCGAATATATAGTTTTTCGAATTTTTGTCTGTCTGCCTGGGAACGGATCACAAGAAAACTACTGGACAGGTTTTGATGATGTTTGGTACGATAGTAGCTGGTTATCCGGGTCAACAATTAGGATACTTTATATTGCCAATAAATATCTAATCTCTGAGAAATCAATACTATCCGTTAAAACCTACAAAGGACGAACCCGAGTGAAACGAGTGCGAGTCATTAGTCATATAAATATATAAAGAATCTCAATCAAAGCTTTATATGATCTAACTGTTCACAGAAGATATTATGATTTATTGCTGTCTGTTTATCCATACTCGTTATGACATTTCCATTTTCTCATTAAAATTGTTTTATGTTATTCCTAGAACTCAATAACTTGGATATAACGATCTTTTAGTACCGTTGACGGTAACGAATGAGATTGCAAAAAATGATGTCAACGGTGTATTTACAGCGTGAGAATGTAACAGAATCAAAACATTAAGAAGCAACACTCGGAAAGTGCTTCATATGAGCGTACGCTTTTAGGTGTAGCCTAAATGTCAACAAACAAGTAAATCCATGTGTAAAAGAACTAAGACTTATTTTAGTAGAAAGTGTACTTTAGTACGCTTTAACACGTCACCTTGAGTTAACATTGCCGGTCCTGCGCCAATCCAATTACGTAAGGAATTGGACTCAACCCGCCCATCCCGCTAATGGAAGGCGGGACGGTGCACTTTGGGGACGCTATCTGCGACCGGCTCAGTAAACCTAATCTCCACATTTATCTGTATTGGTACAAAAGAAACATTCATTTCCCTAGAAGCGCACTGCCGTATCGAAATATATCGAATATTTTAGTGATTCGTTTATTTACAAGTTACCATGGTAACACATGGCGTTTAAGTGTCACACTGAAAATTGCACACTTTCTTTCTCTTTAACCAAAACGACTTTTTTATTTCTAATAAAAATTTAAAAATACTGTTACGAGCTAGGGTTCTGGGATCGTAAACTAAATCTGTTCACTTGCAAATAGATGTTCTATTGTTTTTTTACATACATGAGAATCACTTATAACAGTTCGCCTACACTCGCCGTTCAAGCTCGGTGGCAGATACATCTCAGATTATAGTAGACGAGTTCTCATTAGGTTTCCTTTTTGTTTTTGGACTCATAAGCCCTTACCACCAATATTGCTACATTTTACAATCCAACGCTTTACTTTACGCTCTTACAAATCAGCGGATTCTACAATCATTTTGTCGTGGTCAAATATCATGAGGGCCACGACGCGAATTTCATGCTGTGACCGTTTTAAGTTGGCCACAAAACATTGTAGATGCGTTTTGCATTTTATATAGAAATATTGAATAATAATATAACAGAAATAATACTTTCTTAGATTTACGCGAATGTTTGACATTATTAAATAAAACTATCTTTTCGGATTATTTCGCGGATTTATTTTGATTTTTGGTTCCCGACGTTTCGAATGCTTTACAGCATCCATGGTCACGGGAGAGACTGAGGTGTTACATGTCTTAAAGATATAGTTGTTACAGACAGCCTACCCACAATTAACAAAATGAAAATTTCACCAATTACATTACAATATTTTTTAACTTAAAACATTTTTATAATTTTAATTATAATTGAATATGGAAAATTATTTATTTAATTTTTGCTATTATTTTTATAATGATTACAATTTTAAAATATTAATTAGTAATCTATATTTAGTGTTGCCATTATTATATTTATAACCATAAATAAAAATATAAAAATATAGTATTAATTATTAAAGCCTACAAGATGCAGGAGTTTACAAGCTTGATTGTGATTGTGGGCTCTCTTACATTGGACAAACAAAGCGATCCATTAGAACCAGGGTCAAAGAACACATAGCTGATGTGAAGCACCGTCGCAATACAACATCTGCTGTCTGCAAACATAGCCAGGACCGCCCAAGCCATTATATTCGTTTCGATAGACCTCAAATCCTGGCGAAAGAAAACCGATATCGCCCTAGAATGATTCGAGAAGCCATAGAAATTAAAAAACATCCAAATTTCAATAGGGAAGATGGCTGGGTACTACCATCGTCATGGGATCCTGTTATTAATATAATAAAATCAAATAATAAATATAAACATAACAGACAGGCAGATGTAGTAAGTTCATACTGTGTAGATCAAAATGACAGCTTATCAGATTAATATTTTTCATTTGTAAAAGTATATATTAATAGTGTTGCTTAGTAAGTTATTTTTAAATAATAGCAAACTAAATTAAAATGATTATCCTTAATTAATTTTAACTTTTTAAATTACACATAGAACAATTATATGGCTTTAATAATTAATACTATATTTTTATATTTTTATTTATGGTTATAAATATAATAATGGCAACACTAAATATAGATTACTAATTAATATTTTAAAATTGTAATAATTATAAAAATAATAGCAAAAATTAAATAAATAATTTTCCATATTCAATTATAATTAAAATTATAAAAATGTTTTAAGTTAAAAAATATTGTAATGTAATTGGTGAAATTTTCATTTTGTTAATTGTGGGTAGGCTGTCTGTAACAACTATATCTTTAAGACATGTAACACCTCAGTCTCTCCCGTGACCATGGATGCTGTAAAGCATTCGAAACGTCGGGAACCAAAAATCAAAATAAATCCGCGAAATAATCCGAAAAGATAGTTTTATTTAATAATAACAGAAATAGTAAAAAATTAGAAAATATTATAGACTATGTTCATTTTTTTCTGTTATTTAAAAATTACTTATTAGTTTATACATTTTTAAACAAAATATTTTATATATATCAAATATTATCATCTCAATAATATAGTTAGTCATGTGTCAACCATCAAATGAAGCCTTCTATTAAGCAAAAAATAAGGTTTTGAAAAAAACCGTATCCCTATATAAATATAAAAAAGAACAAAGTCCTTTGTTCATGTCAGTAGGGTAGATAGATAGTGAGAAAAGTTTCCTTTGCATCTCGTACGTGACTTGAAGTTGTCGTTACATTTTCCTGCGACGAACATTTATTTATTTTTGCGTAAACTGCTTTGTACGTAAAAAGAAAACAAAATTGGATAAAATATCGAAGAACTGAATAATGCAACAAAAGCAACATTTTATTCAGAAGTTATGTTAACGTGAGTCTTCGGCCGCTGCTTGTTATGAAATAAATAGAAGAAGCCAACAAACTGAAATCGATTAAACAGACATATTGAAGAAACAGATTGTCTTCGGAAACAACACTAAATTGTAAAATCCCAAAAAAAACTAGGATATTACCGAGCACTATCGAAATCCGATAGCGACATTTCAGTTTAGACGTTTGCGTTTAAAACTCGGATTATATAGATCCCAACAGAATGGATTCAGTAAATTGTAAATCGGATTACTTTTAACATATTGTATTTGAAATTGCAATGATAGTTTCGTAGTTTATATGGTATGTTGTATTATACGTTTGACGCTTAGTATGCCATTTTTTTTTTCATTTTTTTTTCGTGAATTTTTACAATTTTTTTTGTAGTTATTCTGCTATTTGGGGTGAAGACAAATCCAATAAAACAAAGATCATAAAAATCGGTCCTGAAGTTCTCGAGTTATAAGTGTTGTAACAAACCAGACTTTGTCTATACTAATATTGTAAAGAGGTAAAGTTTGTGACGTTGTAGGGGGTAATCTCTGGATCTACTGAACTGATTTAGATGAAATTTCGTAAGAAGATAGTTTAAGACCCTGGGAAGGACATAGGATACTTTTTATCCCGGAAATCATCCCTTAAGAAGGTGAAAATGGAAATGATCGTTTCTATGAGGAATCAATCTATTGATATATTGATATATATATATATATATATATATATATATATATATGTATATATATATATATATATATGTATATATATATATATATATATAGATGTACTTTTATACTAGTTTTCATAGCATATATAAAACTAGTGTTTGATAGTACTAGTGTTCGAATAGTAACTAGTGTTCGACCACTGGTCGAAATTTGACCATAATCGTATTTCAACATTTGAGGAAATCATATGTGAACCTATACCTAAAAAAAGTAGCTTTTTCCAAAAATTTTTTATTAATAACACTAAAAAACTCGTCAATAGCTACTAAACAAAAAAAAAGAAAAAAGAAAATCTTTTAGCGAACAGAGGAGTAAAACGTACTGAACTATTTTGTTACTTTTGCCTATTATCTATTTATATAGGTATATTGATATATTTGAAGATATCTATATATGTATAGATCAACAATGATTTATGACACAAAACAAAAGCTATTGAGAGGCATTTCCATAGAAAGTACTCTGCGGTTACTTCGTAACCATAAATTTCTCAACGCTATGTGAAATCTTATTCTAATTTTCACGTCTCTTTATCTAAGCAAATGGAAATATAATCCCTATAGATTTTGTAATTTCCGTGTATTTTTTTAGATACAGTTAACTTGTAATGTTCGTTGGTCGTTTGTAAATAAGCTCTTATAAAAACGGTATTATTTTTAGTCAGCTGTTGAGTGGGTTGTGGCCAGAGCTGATGATATCCTGAACTGGGGCAGAAAAGGCTCCCTCTGGCCTCTGACTTTCGGCCTCGCTTGCTGCGCTTTGGAAATGATGCATTACGCTGGACCCAGGTTATTTTTTATTATTCTTTAGATTATTTATTAACATTATAACTTTGAACAGATTATAAAATAATACAACGATATTAATATGCAATAAATATTATATTTGAAACGTTGTAGCAATATTTCTTGACGATGGTACGGTACACGGTATGTATCTACGAGTATGTACACCTTACCACGTAATTGATATTGAATCGTCACCTGAAACCAGAGCTGGTCTTTCGATACGCCTCGTCGCCTTCCATGACTACTTACAGGATCGTTTTGTTAATATTTTTCTTATAAATAAACATGTCCTTTACGCGACCTTAAAACCTTTTTACATGCTTCCGATACCTATTGTTATATTTTTCGCCCTCTTCTAAATAAGTAAGAACAGTACAGTTTGTGGACAAATGACATATTTGTTCATAAACTATGGATTTGTGGATGTTCCTAACGATATAAAACTAAAAAATATATCTATTCTATGTATAATTTATTGGATCGATATAATTTAGAACGAATATCAATTGATGCATTGAATGATAATTTAATAACCATTCGATAAAGTAATTCAATTGGTATAATAATTTTGAATAGAAGGCGAAAGGCCGCGCTACGACATTTGACTGGAGTGTTTTAACAAAAGGGGTTAGGTCAAGTATTTCCGCTTAATTACCTCCTTTAGCTTGGCAAGCTTTCAAATTAACACATTTAAGTCACGATCTAGACACGACCGTAATTCTTTATATTATTATTCTTCACGATGATTTTAAATAACACCATTGAAATGCAGATAGGAATTTAATTTTTTATTCATGAATTACGAGCTTGTGGTTTTGCGACTGTGTGGTGGCATTCATCTCGCATTCTCTTAAAATTACTTCTCCTTTATATGGGACCATGTAGTATGTGTTGCTCTAGCAGATGAAAACAGCAATAAATCTGTTTTCAATAATTATTTAATTTTATGTATATATTATATCTCTAATGTAATGTTTGGGTGTTCGCCATCTATGCGAGCAGTAGCAGGAAGTTGGATCAGGGTTCATACAAAAGTGACCATAGCAGTTAATACTTTGCACAGAGCAGATTTATTAAAGGAGAATGTAGGCATTTGATAGGACCTGCGTTATTTATTGAGAAAAGTACTGAGATACGTTCTAGAGAATTTTATACTATATAACCCAAATACATACATAAAACATAAGCCTTCTCTAAACAACAAATATTCTCAATGATAAAAACGCACATCCTATTGCTCCTCTACGGCATGAAATAACAAAATAAGAAACAAACATTTACAGTATTAGTAAGTAATTCACATATCTATTCACCCACGCACTAGATATGACATGGATCGCTTTGGAATGGTCTTCCGGGGAACCCCACGCCAGACGGACGTGATAATAATCGCAGGTACCGTCACCAACAAGATGGCCCCCATACTCCGCAAGACCTACGACCTAATGCCAGAGCCTCGTTTCGTAGTGTCTATGGGGAGCTGCGCTAATGGGGGCGGGTACTATCATTATACGTATTCTACTGTGCGCGGGGCTGATAGAATTATACCGGTTAGATTTTTAATAATAAGTTATATAAATAGATCAATAGCTATTTATTGTTATACGATTTTTTAATTTATTATAAGTGCTGTGTTTCATTACAAGGTCAAACTTTTACGAAATTAAGACAAATAATTATTATATAGGAATCGAACCCACGACCTCTAGACTTTGGAGTACCTAATGTATTCAGCCCTTTTTATCGACCCACTGCTGGGCACGGGCCTCCCTTCAATACGAGATCAGGCCATAGTCCACCACGCTGGCCAAGTGAGGGTTGGCGGACTACATATGGTAAATATTGGAACTGCGAAAGTGTGTTCGTTTATCTATCCTTCATTTATGTAGAAACAATAAACTGGATTAATGTGTGTTTTTGCATAGAGATAGCTTAAATATTTTATTAATTATGTAATCTAATAAATATAAAAAAGTTTTCTGAACAAAAAAATAAAACAAATATTTTCAGTAGGTACCTAAACCGTTTTATTTATAATACGTCATTTTTTTAGGTTGACATCTACGTGCCAGGCTGCCCGCCAACGGCTGAAGCTTTATTATATGGAATGTTGCAACTTCAGAAAAAAGTGAAGCGTATGCGCATGTGTCAGACTTGGTATCGCCATTAAAACTTATTATAGTCATCATTTATTATAATTTTAAATTACAATTATTGTAATTATTTAGCTATAAATTATGTCGACAGTGCAATAAGTACTTATATTAAATATTATAATAGGAAAAATAAAAGAAGTTTTCAACTCAAAAAATATAAGTTTGCCTTTTAAGGTAGGTATATAAAATGCTCGTACGTAAACTTTTAAAGTGAATGTACATATTGCATCATTACAAATACAATGAATAACTGTATTGCAGGTTAATTATGTATTTCAATTTGCTTTACAACACTATCACACGATAAAATCTTTATAAATAGACATATTAAATCCATCTTTGAACAGTTTAGATTTCCTTATAGAAGTTGATTTTATATATAGTCTCATTGATAAAGTATGCAATAGTGGAAAGAACCCATTAGGATTGTTCTCTACAAACGTACGTTATTAACAATTTTAACAAAAATGTATAATGTTTAGTTAAAAGTCTAAAACTTAAATATTATAAGAATTCAATAAAAATTCAATTATTTTTTCTGTTAATCTTCAAAGTAACATTATTATTTTTTTGACAATTTATTCGTGTTGATGGATAGTGAGTTGATGATTTTCCTCATATTAGAAAATCAGTAGAACTTTTCTTAATAAAATTTGTCTTCAAAATTACTAATTTTCACTGCAATACATTATTATACCATAATATCGTAATTCAGGTTATATACTGTACATAATGTCTATTCAAAAGCTTTAAATATACCATATAATCCAGTAGAGAGACACCTTAAAGTATGAGAAACTCGTAGGCGTGTTTCATTACGCGGAGGCACGTACAAGCACCGGATGGAATTGATCTAGTTTCCAACTATAAAGCATTTTATACATAAGATTTCATGTGGCATATAACAAGATGGCTTTTACTTTAAAAACTTCGCATTTAAAATTTCATATATAAACGTCTTTAAAATAATATGGTCCATAATAAAATAATATTTGCATTCCAAATATATAACATGACTTACTGATAGATAAACGCACATCCTAAATCGCTTAAGGAACCGTTTTCTTTGAAATTCTACTCTAATGAGGCAAATGGGATGTTTCTTCGTATAAAAAAATCTTATTTTCAGTATAAATTCTCTTTAAACTTGGTATGCGTATACTTTAAAACTATAAAATAAATATTTAGGTATAATATATAGCCTGTTCCGTCTTTGCCGAGTTTAAAAAAAAACTGAAAAATATTGTTTCCCATAAGAAGATAGGCGGTTACCTCGTTCATAATATGAATATTCTGTACAAAATTTAGTTAAATATAGACAAGTAGTTTTAAGCTAAATTGCAAATAACATGTAGGTACGTACTTTATTCCCATATGAGTATTCCCATTAGTAAATTGTACCGGAGAAAGCCAAGATTTTTTTTAATGTAGCAGATTTTTTTAATCTCACACCTAAGCCCTCAGAGAACATAATAATTTATATAGAACATTTTACCCCTCGGAGAATTTCATAGAAATTATACGCCATTGTTCCGTGTTAGACCCTGAAGCGAGGGTTGAAGGGTACTAAGTGTCACGAATATATAATTATTCAAATTGCTGGTTGATTCATGCATTCAACTGTATAGAAGCTCGCTTATAGTAGCATATTGTAATTCAATGAATACTACATTAACCATATGAAACACTAAATTACCGAATCCTTTTTCTTTATCTGTTACATACTGATACATATATTTTTTTCGTTTTTTTAGGTAAAGTATTTTACTCTAAGTATGTACTACTCGTGGCTAATGCTCGCTTCGCTCGGGTTCGACCCTAGGTACGTTTTAATTTTTTTGAGCGGAAACCTAATTCTTTTTATAAATTAGAAGTAGCCTAAGTTACTCCTAATAACATCAGCTATCTGTCAGTGAAAGTCCCGTTTAAATCAGTCCAGCCGTTTCGGAGATTAAACGAAGAAACAGACAGACAGACAAAAAAAATCAAAATTGTGTTTTTTTTTATAAGTACCGTACATAATTATTTCATATGCATTTAGTAAAAAGCTGTTTTTTGACATTACAAACAGACACTTTAATGTTATTCATCTGTATATAGATTTGGGTGTGAAAACATTATTTGTTACATATACTTTTTTATTTTAATATCTATCATACATCATTTTGTAGAAAATTTATCAAGTTAAGCGTTCTTAACTTTATGTTCCGAAAACAAATGCACGAAAGCTAGGAGTTTCATAGTTTTTCCAACAAGTAGCAACATAATAAAAGCACTAAAACGAAAAAAGACAACAAAGAAGTCAGTGCAAACTTCATATGAAACCCCCTTTGAGCGGAAAATTATAAAAAATATAAATATAATATATTATATTAAATTAAAAATTATCGTTTAAAGTAAGAAGAAGCAGCGCTAGTTATAATTCCACTCCATTGGTGGAAGGTGATTTCAAAGGCGATGTACCTACATTTCTAACTAAAATGATAACGAAGTTTTTTATTTTAACAATAATATTATTTTTCCACAAAAACTTGACAAAACGTAACTGATTTATATAATCGTGTTTTGAAGTTAGTTAAATAGCAGTTACTTTCTTCTAGTTAAAGTTACATCATAAAAGTTTCCTCTATACTAAGAAATAATTTGTAAATAAAAACGCGGAAACCAATCGCACTTGATATTAGCATAATACATTATATACATAATATCTTAAATAAGCTTGCACTTTGTAGGCCTACGCTAGCTTGATTAATTACCAAGCGGAAAATATTAAGTAAACGCAGGATTACCATTTAAAATTTTTAAATATAATAAAGACTTTAAAAAGGAAAATATAAACCTACTTCAAATAAAATCACTAAAAAGTAAAAAATAGCTGATTGGTAGTTTTCATTTACTATAGATACCTAATCAGATATTTTCGAAGTAGGTGTGCTTTGATTTATATCGGCTAGCAGACAAGTTCTGAGGTACCTAATAAACATAAAAAAAAATCTGTGTGTATACTTATGTACGCACGTAAGATGTTATAGGTGCTTCTTTGCCGTAAAAGAACAAAAAAAGTAAAACATGAATTGCGAAATTGTCAAAGTAAAAGAACGTAAACTTGTCGAAATAAAGCTTGTAAAAAATAAAAAATAATTAATATACTAACCTTTTCCATCCAAATGTTTTTCCGACCTAAAGAAACCATTATCCATGCTTTTCATTCATTTTTCTTTATCACTACGATCTAATTATAATAATTTTCCTCACTGAACACAAAAAAATCCTTGAAATTGTTACATAAAACTGATAAAGATGTAACGATGATACATAGATATAATACTTATAAAAATATTTTTATTACTCGTTATTTATTGTTTAAAAAAAGTGCGTGTAACCTTTACGCGTGGTTGAAGTAAAACTTCTTTGGAAAAAGGCGCAATTAAATTAAAAGAAATCAATAATTAAATAAGAAATAGTAGGCATATTACAATCATATATTTATAGAATATCATTTATAGAAAGAATATAATATTGTATATCATTTGTCAAACAATAACAACGGTTACCATGGCAGCAAACAGTTATCAGCTAACTTCATCATGTCGCTTCGCATCGCATCCTAAAAATTTTACTCTCATATTTTTTTCCAAATGTCCCAAAAGAAGTTTAACTTCTAAAAACATACAGCCGAATTGAGAACCTCCTCCTTTTTGAGAAAGTCGGTTGAAAATGAACGGGTGTATATTTTCGTATAAATTGTGTAGATAAATAATATATTTAAAAAATAGAAGATTATCACTCGATTTTATCGCTGACTTTATTCATTTCTAATCCCATTCTTGATCAGCGCGGGTAATAGGCTGTATTACGTATACACTATATTACCCCTGCATGAGTAATGTTCATTATATAACGCTTTAAGAACAAGTCAGTTGCAAAATCGATACGAAATAGAATTATAACAAAAAATGAAAGACACAAAAAAAATGTGTGGGAAAAAAATTATAGATACGAGTAGATGTTTAAAATCGAGATCGATGTTATAAGTTTTTTATTCAAGCCAAATAGTCGGATCGGTAATATGCTTCTAAAAATTGAAACAATTCATTAAATACATATATTATTTCATTTTTAACGTAATAAATTATTTCTATTTCCATTAATAACACCCAAAAATGACAGCCCTACGTTGTAAACATTACCGTTTTACCAAAGAGGCGAGAGGTCTGTTCATACTTTACGAGTGGAGCTTCGCCCCAGTTCGGGAAGTAGGGCAAAAAGAATGGATATTAAAGTCGCTTTCCGACGTAGAACTACAACGTCGCGAATTGTAATATATATGTGTAATATATATAAATATATATATTTCATTGTACAGCTTCCGGATGAGCTTTTATTTACATCTCCCAAAGGTAGTTGTTGTTAAATTGGTCTTATTTATGCTGAAGTTTTTTTTAATTGCTTCCTTGAACATATTATAACTTTTTATGAGTCTGAGTATCATCATATTTTATTGGTCGTATTTTTTAGTATTGGATATTATTTTATATATTTTCTTTGCTATTATTAAAACGGTTATTGGACTATTTTTACAATTACTTGTGTATTTAATAAAACTATGTATTCCGATTTTTTCGCGGATTTATTTTGATTTTTGGTTGCCGAAAAGATAGTTTTATTAAAAATTTCAAATATTCGGATAAATCTAAGAAAGTATTATGCTTGTAAGTGTGTATGTTTATTACTCCTTCACGCGGAAACGGCAGAACGAATTTGGATAAAACTTAATACACTGATAGATATACCACTTCTAGTAACATATAGGCTCTTGTTAGGCACCTAGGGACGACTCCGAGTGAAGCGAGGGTGAGTCGCTAGTAAATAATAATCATGATAAATATAATACATATGTCTGTTAGTTGCGCTTTATTGGTCCCATTGAAATTTAGTTACAAAGAATAAATTAAGCTTTATCACGAGAAAGTATTTCCCAAAACAACATATATAGAAGGAACATAAATAT